GAGCAGCACAGCGGTAGTACACAGCAGGACCAAAGTACGAGCGGCCAAGCCACCTTCGTTCAAATACGAGTACTCCAAGCACTGCAGCACCACGCACGTCGGAATTTCCGCCCATGCGACGCCCGTAGATTGAGTGCCAAAATGACCAAGCACGATGCATTCGCTGTTGCGAACGCTGGCTTGAACCAGCTGCAGCAACAGCAGCGCACGGTAGCTCGGGCATCTGCGAAAAGACTTAACTGGAGGACGTGACAGATAGATCTTTTGTTTTTACCGGTACCACACCAAGTGTCTTCGACTTCCGGTCCTCGTTCGACAAACGAGACGGGCAAAGTGCACGGTCAAGAGACCACATATATTTTGCTGCCATTTTTAAAAATCGAGCCCGCCAAAAGCGACACTTGATAAGATATAGAGGTGAAGTTGGGTATACGGCGTTTGATTTACGCCACTACAAAGTTAAACAGGTCGCGCACGGCCTCGCAAAATCAACTTGGCTCTCGCCGTAGATAAATGGACCAGCATGTCGATAATATTATTGTCCAAAATGTATCGTGCCAGTTTCAATTCCGAAGAAATTTTTGTTTTCTCATGGACTCTGTCGTTGGGCGATTCCATCTCGAAAACGGCAACTCAATGTTTCTTGTCAGAGCGAGCGCCAGGAACGTTCAAGTGTGACACGTCCAAACCCTTTTCTTTCAGCAATGACCGGCAAATGAGCGTACATTGATATTGCCCTTCCGAGAAAGGACTCACTCAGTAGAACTTCTTTTCACTATCCTAAAAAGGCGTGTCTAGGTTCCGCGGTACTTGTTTTTCTTGTTTCTTGTTTTCTTGATCACGTCTCGGAATGATGTTGGCGCGCTGCCGGACCCCGAGGTCGCATAAATAGACCTACGAGGTCGGGCGGCGGAGCGCAGGTCGCCGTTGGCGGCCGTTGGAGAGCGGGGCGAGGCCGAGTTCTTGGAGCGCGGCGTCGATGCGGCTGCGCGGTGCTTTGGGGTCGTTGCGGAGCCAAGCGCGGACACACGAGAGCCACAGCTCGCGAGTCTCGCTTCCGGCGACTGGCATGACAAAGGGCGTCTTGGACTCGAACTTGAGACTTCCCAACAGTACGACATTCATTCAAATGAGCTATGGCAACGCTCGAGAGTCATTGACGCTACGCTCGCGCCAAAGCCACCACCGCTTGGGCTCGCGCGGTAGCAGCGTCTGGCTCGCTAAAAGTGGTCGAATGTGGGCTTCAAAAAAGGTACGTAGCCTATCGTCGAGACCGCTGATCACGTAGTCGTCCAGCGCACACCGTTTTGCGCTCGAGAAGAGCATGACGAGGGACATTTGCGCCTCGGCGAGATCGTAGGTGCGAGGGCGTCGACTCGCTGCGCTGCTGCGGCCTCGCGACTTGGGGTCTGGTGTCTGCGCCGCTTCTTGCAGCGTTTGTACCCGGCGGAGCTGCGCGATAAGCTCCCGCCGCGTCGCCCTTCGGCGCTCGACTTCTTTGAGGACAGAAGGCGGCACGAGGCTGAAGTCTTCGGTGCGCGCCATCGATCGTTTCGAGGCCCCGTCCATTGCGTTCGGCTTGAACTCGACGAACTCAAGGAGGTCGATTACCGTGACGATCTTGGGTAGCGACGACATCGAGCGCGGCGGCGACTCGGTCGCTACGCTCTGTATGGTGGACAAAAACGACATTTTTCGGGCGCCCCGGGCACCAGATAGAGTTGTACGAAGGCTCTCGCTGTTTCGGCGCCGCGTTATGGTGCGACTTGCCGAAGGTTGTCTGTCGTTGGCTGCCACGCGAAGGCTACCACCCGTAAAGGACGAGCGCAGGTGGGTTTGAACCCACGACACGAGGGGCGATGGGCTTTGGCGGTGTTCGCGTTGGCGCTGGTCGTAGCTCGCTTCCATTCGATGCAAGCGTATGCAGAGCACTTCGAGCGTTGCGCTGATGGTATAGTCGTCAACCCATCGATTGAGGCCAGCGCAGATGCGGCGCATGGCGTCCGGCGTCAAGAGCACACACGGGTTTCGCGTTGCGTCGGCCTCGGCCACTTGTAGCACGAGCGCCAGAATTGAAGCGCACTTGCGTACAGTCGAGGCACTTACGGTCTCTAATCCGATGCTAATGTAGCTTAGACACTCGACATGGCGCAGCCATAACAACGGGGGAAGGTGACCGTCCAGCGTGAGTTTGTGCAGCGAGTGAACAACGTCAAGCACATGCTTGGAATGCGTGCTGCTCGTGCTGCAGAGTGCTGCCAACACACACAGATATGTGCTGGCCGAGAGCCGAACATACCGGGCTTTGTACCACTCGAGAAGGAACCGCGCGCTGTCTTGCATCGCTGTCTTGTGCTGTAACGCGCACGCGTCGTGAAGTGTCTCGACACCCAGTGCCAAGATGCGCTTGAGCCGCAAGATGGCATCCTCTGGAGTCTCGACCTTGGCCAGCCAGCGCTTACCACGGATCGCTATTACATGGAACGGGTCCTCCGAGCCGGTTTGACTTCCGCGACTAGCAAACGGGGCCACGATGCTCATGCGGGAAAAGCTTCTCTTGAGCATGCCAGAAGGCGACGGTGTCAAGTCGGGTACCGCAGGACCTTTGGTTGCCGTCGTATCTACGCCAGTGCTCGTTGGTTGACTCACGTATGCTAACATAGTAGTACCTTTGATGTGGTGAATTCGGTGAATCTTGATGCAGACGCCTTTAGCACTCGACTTTTTCGCGGGCAGCGACGGCGGGCTACTTGCCGATGCAACAATGGGCTTGCGATGGTCGTTCTCGACGTCTTTGAGATAGTGCTTGAACGGAATAGCATTCGTTTTTTCAGCTTCTTCAATCGGTAACTTTTGCTTTCGGAAGGCCTAGAAAGTGGCAGAGTTGGCGCCTGAACAAACCGTTCTCCGAATGCGGGACCTGAATGTGACTAAACCATAAAATGCGCAACGCCAAAACGCGAATCGAAAGGTCCAGTGACTCGGGGACATCCACCAGCTGCTGCAGACGACCCAAGAGGACGTCGTACTGGGACGGATGCAGCTTGGACGGGTCCATGTACAGTGCCGCGATTGTGCCAACAGCCCGTGATGCGGACGACGACGGGTCACTCAAGAGCCCGAGGATGCTCTTGTCGGGGATGTGGAAGTGCAATGCTCGTCGATTGTTGAGACGCCAAACGCCCAGCCAAAGCAGCGGCAGCGGCGTCAGCGCGTAGTAGAGGTGGCGAATGGGTGTCGACGCACCGACAAAGGCGAGGACGCACAGTGACGCGTACATGGCGCTGCTGAACGTGAGCGCGCGAATGTTGTTGGGCAGGCGACCGCTGCCAATGCACTAGACGACAACGTTTTCCAGTCGAATCGACACAAAGCTGAAAGACTCATACCGGCTGAACCTTGTAGTTGTAGCAAAAGAGCAGCGTCATGCAGAGGAGAAAGCCGAGGGCGATGCCGCTGCCGATCGCCGGGTGATGTTCAATATCGAGTTGACTGACGAGCATGGATACGATCGGGTTGACTAGACCACAATAGGACAATAGTGGCCAGGAAATACATAGGGAAGGGTTAGTTAGTGTACGTGTGCGGGCCATGACCATGATGATCTGGAAACTGGTCTGAAAGCGAAAGTCCATGGTGGTTGCCAGTGGCTCCGTGTACAATTTGTAGTGGAGCGCTGACAAGTACAGCGCGACAAATCCAGAGAGACCGATTCCCTATATTCCACATTGTCTAATTGAAATATCAAGCAAATGTATCAAGAGACGGACCCAAAAGTAGCCAAAATGATCGATGCACGCACACGTGGCACCACCCGGTAGCACAAACTGGACGTAGCCGTCGGGACACGTGGCAAGTCGTACGAGCGTCGATGTGAGCGGGATGTAGAGCACGTCAAATACCATTGGGTACAGGTACTTTTTACGCCAGAGATCGCCTAGTCATGCGTGAGTGGCGTCCACACCGTGTAGACGTACAAATCGGGGTGATCCGCTTCCCGAGCCATAAGAGCAGCACAGCGGTAGTACACAGCAGGACCAAAACAACGTTGGACGCCTGGTCCATTGCGTGAGACAGAGCAAAATGCAAACGACAACCGCACTTCATAGGGAAAGTTGAGTGAAAAGTAGAGCGGGTTGAGCCAGGGCGGACCACCCGCGACCTTGAAGGCGATCGTGAGCGGCGTGTGCGAGAGTGACGGCCACTCGGCCCACATGGCGCCGAGCTTCATATAGCGTTGCAGCCGCCGACGCGACGTCGTAGACGACTTGCGTTGTGAGAGCGCGACTGCCTTGCCTACGTGTTCACAACTGCGTTCTCTGCAGCACTCGTGAAAAGTACCTTGAGCAAGCGGATCGTGAATCTTGGTGACATCAAACTCGAGGCCAGAGTCGGATGTCCGGACGTGCAGCAGCCGCTGTCCGCCGCCAAGAAGCCAAAAACACCAGAGGGATGCGACAGGCGTCGGTAGCAGCCAGCCGTAGCCGCACGCGGACCATGCAGCTTTGGCGCACGTGGCATTGACCGCCACGTAGCAGCTGTGCGTCATGCGCTCAACAGCGAGAGTACCGGCACTAAAACCGCGGAGTCCGTTACGAGCTATAAACAAAATTGCACTTAGTCGAGAGCGACAAGTCGCGGTAGTTGTCCATATGTACTCGAGCTTGTGGAGTCTTTAGTCTGTATAAAGACTTCAATCCATATCATCATCATCATCATATGTACTCGAGCTTCGACAGGCCTAATAACCGCCGCGCAAGGGACCACACGTTGCTCAACCATCGAAGATGCGACGCTTAGGACCGACACCACGCAAGGAGCCCAATGTGACACATTGAACGTAGGCTCGAGGCCAGCGTACACTGTAGAAAAGTGAGATATGTGCTCGTCCACGATGTCCTGGATTTGCTATTTGTTGGCGCCACCACAAGAACAGTTGAACACTTGAATTCAAATATGGTGCGTCTCTCTACGTGGGGGGCGGGAGCCATAGCACCGAACGTCGCTTCTCGTGCACCTTGTGGTCGCTGGGCGTCAAAAATGGCTTGACAACTGAAGCAAAGAACGTCTGGAGGTCCGGGTCCAACCCGACTTTGACAAAATCCAGGATGGCGCTCTCGGTGGCCGATCGGTACAAGACGGCAACGTTGGCGAGGGCGTCCGAGAGCTCTTTTTTCGACGCGAGCATGAGCTTGGTGTCGCGATGCACCTTTTGAGCAGCTCGGAGACCTTCGAGGAGGCGCCGGCGGTTGGTTCGGCGCCGGCGAATCTCGGTGAGCACCGCGGGCGACACGACCACGTACTGCTCGGGCCGCATGATGCGCCGCAACGTCCCATCGGCCTTGCGTCGCGCATTCGTGAGCGTCTTTCCATCACCGTCCAAGAACAAGTCCACCGTGTAAAATGATTGGTTGCGCGACGCCAATAGCTCCAAGGACGCGTCATCGTCAGTCGACGACGTCCGAGTGTCGCGTACGTTGCCCGAGAGGCGCGAGCCAAAACGCGCCGAATCGGTCGTGCTGCTCTGGCCCGTCGACAGCGCCGCTGGCGTAACCATTGCCGGCTCAGCACTGGCCGCCGTCATGACGGGTTGCGTGGCAGTGAGCAGTGCCAGTGAGGGACCGCTTGCAGGGACGCCAACTGGCATCGGTGGCTGCTGTGTTGCGCTTGCGAGAATCGCAGCGACCGTCAACGCTGTCGTCGTCGGCACCTCGGGGCTGGCTACAGACGTATTGGACACGATGCCGCCGGCCATGACAGGGAGAAGAAGAGCTTGCGGCGGTCCCACACACGATGCTGGTGGTGGCGAAGCTGTGGCCGGTGGCAGATCTGGAATATCTCGGGGAGCTAAGCTATTCGCTCGCTGCCGCAGAGGTGGCAGTCGGCGACCTGTCTCGACTCTCTCGACGACGGGCGTGACGTTTACGGGCGGCAGCGCTGGCGGGAGCAAAAGACTGCTCGCGATTGGTGGCTCCAAGAGCGGGGGCAATCGCAGCGGTGGGCTGGCCTCGGTGTTGGTGTCGAGTGTCGGTGGTGTGTGCTCTGGCGTCCGTGGCTCTTCTGGCGCTGGAGCAACTGGCGATGGTACGACCTTGCACGTCACGGACGTTCGCATGACGGAGCGGGAGAAGCGGCGAATGCCCGAGTTACTGCTGAGGTGCGACTCTGTCTTGCGTCGCGTAAAGGTGCCCGTCATCGTGTTGGCCGTCGTCGACGGTTTGACCGAGTCGGCCGACCGCACGACGACTCGGACAAAGCGCTGCGTAAACGTCTCGTGGACCCACTGCAGCAAGGCGCCGGAGATCTTCTTCTTGCCCGTGTGCAGACGCTTGGTGAACTGCGCGACTTCCATTTGGTGCAAGCGTAAACAAATGGCCTCGAGCGTCGCGCTGATGTGGTACACGCTGTGCCACTTGGCGAGCGCGCTATGGACGCGATTGATGCTTTCGGGCGTCAGCAGCAAAAAGAGGCTGATCTTCGTGTGCCGCTCGGCGGCTTGGAGCACGAGGGCGAGCACGGACGCGCACTTGAAGACAGTTGTCGGACTCGGATGGACGAGTGCCGTGACAAAGTTGTTGAGGTACGATGCGTTCTTGAGCCAGAGCTGCAGCGGAACGACACCACTGATGCATAGCTTGTGAATCGTATGGGTTGCATCCGCCGTCCGCTTCCGGTCGCCCGTCGCCGTTAGCGTCGAGAGCACGTGCAAGTAGATGGTCTTTGTGAGCCGGAGGTACCCGCTGCGATACCACTCGAGCATAAACAGGGCGATTTCGTGCATGCACGGCTTGTCACCGAGCGCACACGCTTGCGCGAGCACCTCGAGCGCTGTATTAAAGAGCCCAACCGCGTGAAAAAATGCGTCGTTTGGGGATTCGTCCTTGGAGATCCAGTGCTTGTCGTGGATGAGCACGACGTGGTAGTTGCTAATCGCTAGGGACCGCGCCGTGCCCGTGAGGCGCGATAGAATCGGCGCCACAAGCTTGGCCATCGACATGGTGTGCTTCCAGCCACTAGGACGCCGCGGTCGGAGGTCCGAGACGGACGGTGCGTGCTTCATGGATGTATCAGACGACTGTAACTTTTGGCCAGAGAAAACGTTGAGCAGCGACGATGGGCGGGAGCCTGCCTGCCGCAGTGCACCAAGCATCGGAGGTCGCGGCTTGGTTGCTGCGACAGAAGGCATATCCGGCAAAGTTGTCTCGGTTCGGGGTGTCTCGGCGGGTGGTGCCTCCGGAGGTGGTGGCTCGGTGGGTCGTGACTCTGTTAGTGGTGACTCCGTGGGGGGTGTCTCGGTTGCGGGTGATTCGGTGGGGGGTGTCTCGGCCGCCGGTTCCTCAGTGGGGGGGGGGTCCACCGGGGGTGGCCTGACCGCGAGTATTTCGGCGCTGCTGAGCTTATCCGGCTCGGAGAGTCGCAATGGACGCCTTTTTGGCTGCTCGAGCGCCGACGCGGAGCTTCGCTGGTGGGGGCTGCTTCTTTTTGAGAGACGACTTTTTCCGTCCTTCGACTTGTCGGGGGCAACGCGGGGAGTCCGCAGCATGGGCAAGGGGCGCTGGAACGCGGCGAGTGCATTGATCTGGCGCGGATGCAAGTTGGCGAGGGACGTTGTCGTGTCCATGACATCTACTCAAGTACATATTTACGCAAAAACGGCTCGACAATCAGGTACCTTTGACGTGGTGGACGCGCTGGATCTTGATGTTCGGCTTGACGATCGAAATCGGCACGTCGGCCGTCAAGAGGCGTGCGCGGGCCTTGGATTTCCGGTCGCTATTCTCAATGTCTTTGAACCACAGCTTGGGTGGCACCGCCGTCTTCTTCTTGTCTTCGCCAACCGTGAGGCTTTGTTTTCGGAAATTCTGTCAATTGGAAAAAATTGTCACGATCTTGTACGACAATCAAGGTACCTCAATGTGGCAAAACCAAAGTGTCCGCAACGCGTACGCGCGGCACAAAAGCTCTTTGGTGCGCGACCGCTGCGTGATCTTTTCGAGTTGCGCCATGATCGCGGCGTAGTGCACGACGTGCAGCTTGAGCGGGTCCATGTAAAGCGCAGCGATCGTGCCCACGGTCTTGGACCGGCTCGAGTGGTCGCGAAGGAGCTCGAGGATCGAGAGGTCGGGGACGTGAAAGTGGTGCGCGCGCATGTTGTTGCGATGCCACGCGACACCCCACACGACCGGCAGCGGGGTCAGCGCATAGTAGAGCTGCGCGGGCGACGCGTTCGAGAAGAGAAACCCGAGGACACTCAGCGTCGTGTAGATCGCGCTCGAGAACGAGAGTGCGCGAATGTTGTTGGGGATGCGGCCGCTCCCAATGCACTAGTTGAACCTCGTGACTGTCTACAACGAGGAGGACAACGTACCGGCTGCGCCTTGTAGTTGTACACAAACAGAAACGCAATGCACACAAGAAAGCCGCACGCGAGAAGGATCGCGTCCGATCGGTGCGTCTTCATGTCCAAGTCGCTCACGAGCACCGATATAATGGGGTTGACTAGACAAGGACATTCTTGACCAATGGACAGGTGACAGAATATGACGTACGGGTGCGCGCCATGACCATGATGATCTGAAAGCTGGTTTGAAATCGAAAGTCCATGGTCGCGCCGTGTGGCTCGATAAACATCTTGTAGTGCAGTGCCCTGGTGTACAGTATCACAAACCCGACAAACCCAATGCTCTACAATGTTGTCAAGTGTGCACGATTGAGGACAAATACCCAAGAAATGCCAAAGCGGTTCACACAATCGCAGGTCGCGCCGCCCGGCAGCGCAATGTGCTGGTACCCGCCGGGGCACGTTGCGAGACGCACAAAGGTCGAAATGAGCGGAATGTACAACACGTCAAACGTGATGGGGTACGCGTACTTTTTCAAGTACAATTCGTCTAAATCGCACAATGGGACTCTACATTCCAACCTCCAATCACAAATTTCAACGTACGTAGGGGCACGAGTCGTTGGCCGTGCCGAAGCACAAGAATGCTGCCCCCACACACGACGGCCAGCACCAGGTTGGCCATCTACGCCCGTGGTGGTCGCAAAACGTCGCTTTTTCAACGGCCATACCTCGTACGGCGAGTTGAACGAGACGAGCATCGACGACAGAAAGCTGCTCGAGCCCGCGACTTTGAACGCAATCGTCAGCGGCGTGTACGTTAGCGATGGCCACTCGGCCCACATGGCCCCGAGCTTCATGTAGCGCTGAAACTTTGGCTTGTGTATGCTCGTCGACTTGCGCTGGGAAAGCGCGACGGCCATCCCTACGGCACGCGATAGACCGTGGACGACGTGAAGTGTGGGTTTACCTTGGGCGAGCGGGTCGTGAATCTTGTCTGTATCAAACTGAAACCCGTTGGTTTGCCGAGTGGCTTGACGGAGGCGCCCGAGTCCGTACAGCAACCAGACGCCCCAGAGCAACCAGACAGGCGCCGAGACGAGCCAGCTGTAGCCACACGAGGGCCAAGATGCCTTTGTACACGCCGGCGCCGACGCGTCGAGCCAGAAGCAGGACCCGTTGGTCATGCTTGCGCTGTTTCAGCCTGTCTAGAAAAGCGGCTCTGGGCTTAAAATAGCGGACCCTCCCATGACTAAAGTTGTTGTGTAACAGAATCGATATGGCGACCACGGTTTGGTCATGTGACGAGCCCGGGCAAGGGTCATTCGGTCCCCCAGCTTGTCGTGCAAGGACGACCCCATCTCCCAATGCTGACTTAGCATCATAATACATTCGTGTCGACATCGCTATCGACAATGTCGTCCGGACTTTATCTCTACTGTCGGATCTGGTCGATGGTTTTGAAAAACCCGGGCGCGGCTTCGACGAGCCACTCCTTCTCGATCGGCACAAGGTTGCGCACATAGTGTTTGCTCGTAAAGACGAGCTCGTTGAAGACCACGTAGCGCGGCGGCGGGTTGCGCTGGAAGAGCACCGAGCTCGGGTGCACCTTGACGTCTTCTTTGGTCGCATTGCACATGGTCTGAAAGCTCGCTTTCGACATGAGCGCCGACTTGGTGCGCATCGCGCTGTTGAGAAAGAAGCCGGCGACGATGGCCTTTCGGACCGGCACCGTGTCGGGCAGCGCCGAGGCCGTCAGTGCGTCGGTCGACGGCGCGACCTTGGAGAGGTACGTGACGAGCTGGTCGCGGACCTTCTCGACGCGCTGCATGGACCGGTGGTTGATGAAATGGTCGCGGCACCACTTGGCGCGCTGCTTGAGCGACGTCTGCGCGTACGCATTGTAGACAGCGAGGAGCATGAGCTGGTCGCCATCCAGCGACACAAACTGCGCACGGGACGCCGCCGCCTTTTCCTTCTGATCCTTGGGCGAGTAAAAGATCGACTCGACGCTAAGCATGGCCACGATGCTCAAGGCGTCAGCCGCGCACTCGAGCTCGAGCGATCGCAAGAGCATGACGGCGCACATCGGATCGACGGGCAGACTGGCCATGGTCCGACCTAGACAACGTGTCTGAGAGGACGGCAGACAGTACAGGACGCACCGCGCGGCGTGAGCGAGCCATCGGCGTTGAACGCGCCGAGCGCGTACAACTTTTCGAGGGCCCGCATGAGGTTGGCCGTGTTGGGCCGCTCGATAAAGTCAAAGCCAAGAATGTCGTCAATACCCATCGTCTTGAGCTGCAAGACCACGATCTCGAGGCTCACGCGCTTGATTTCCGGGATCGCACGTGCCGGGAGCTCTTCAAATTTGTCTTCGGGGAAGAGCCGGTAACACACGCCGGGGGCCTCCCGACCCGCACGACCACTGCGCTGCCACGCCTGCGCCTGCGAGATCGACTCGACATGCAGATGCTCCATGTGCCCGACAAACGACCGCTGCTTGACAAGGCCGGCGTCGACGACGAACCGGACGCCGTTGATCGTGATCGACGTCTCGGCAATGTTGGTCGCCAAAATGACCTTGCGGACGCCGCGGGGTGCGGGCTCGAACGCCAGCATTTGCGCCTCCCGGGGCATGGCCGAGAAGATCGGGCACACGAGGAGCTTGGAGGACGTCGCCGGAAGCCGCGTGCCATAGTCGTTGAGAAGCCCTTCCATCGTCTCAATGTCTTCTTGGCCGGTGAGGAAGACAAGGATGCTGCCATTGTTCTCGGCATTGTCCAGGTGGATCTGCAGCGTCGTGATGAGGACCGCGTCGAGGTAGTCGGGCAGCGCCTTGGTCGTATAAAAGATGTCGACCGGGTGCGTTCGACCGGGAATCCGCAGCACGGCCGGCGAGCTATAGCGAGATCAATCGTAAAACGTACAAACTCGGAGGTTGCGTACCTCTCTTTAAAGAAGGACTCGAAGAGGCCAACGTCCAGCGTCGCCGACATGACGACAACGCGGAGGTCCTTGCGCGCCGCGAGCGCCCGCTTGATGACGCCAAAGAGGATGTCGGTCTGAAGCGACCGCTCGTGAGCCTCGTCGAGCACGACGACCGAGTACGCATCGAGCGACGGCGAGAGCAGCGCCTCGCGCACGAGCATACCGTCGGTCATAAACTTGAGCTTCGTGGCCGCGGACGTCGTGTCGTCAAAGCGCACGCAGTAGCCGACAGGGCCGTCCTTGATGCGCGAGCCCATCTCTTCGGCGACGCGCTGGGCAACCGTGATGGCGGCGACGCGGCGCGGCTGTGTCACGGCGATCTTCTTGCTCGGGTTGGTCATGTGCGCCTCAAAGATGTACTGCGGGATCTGCGTCGTCTTGCCCGAGCCCGTCTCGCCGACGACAATCACGACGCGGCTCGACCGGACCGTGTCCAGGATGGACTTCTTCCACGCGAAGATGGGCAGCGACGCCCGGACCTTGGCCATGGCCTCGCGGGCGTCCCACTCGCGCTCGCGCTTCTTGTTGTCCATAATATTTGGTCAACTGCCCACGAATGGATCGCACCGCTCGGAAAACACCCAACTTCAAACCAGCTGGTCCAATTGAGTTTCTATGGCTCAAAACAGCACCGTGAAACTGAATTGATCGCGATGAAGCTCAATTCAGAATTCCAGCGTTGCACTTCCCATTGAGTGTTTGAGGTTTGACATTCATATTCAGATAGATCCAGACGCTGCGTAGGAACATGAAAGGGACTTGCGCTTCGCCTTACATACTAGTATGTCTAAATGGACTGCGCATTGTTCGAGACGGCGCCAAAGTAGCACGACGAAGTCTTGGTTTTGTGGTCATCAACTGCTTCTGGTGACGGCTCCTCGGGGCGACTCTCATCACTGCGACCCGCCTCGAGGCGCTGCTGGCAGCGGAGCAACTCGCGCTGGCACTCGGCCAACTGAATCTCCAAGAGGTGGTTCTGGTACGCCATCGCGCGCGTGAGGTCCTGGGCCACGCGTGGCGCCTTGACCGTGCGCAGTGGCGTCGTCTTCTGCACCAACGTTCAAGCATGATGCTACATGAAGATGTAGTATCGTCGCACCTGAAGCGACGCCATGGCCGCGTTCACCGTGTACGCAAGGTCCGTGCAGATGCGCGACTACATATGTATCAATGTGTCAACATGCCGCCAGGACAGTTGAGCTCGGTACGTGGCGCTTGGTCTCGATCGCGTTGATGCCGCCGGGTGCGCGCACGGCGCCGCCACTGCCGATCGTAAGCACCACCTACACGTACCAACTGCCTTAGCGTTGCTCACCTGGCAAAGAACTGACGTTGGCACTGTGCGTCGCGGTCGTCCGTGATGTCCAGAGCAGTTGAACGAGCTAGATGCACCATACTGACACCCGCGCTTGGGGTTAAATGACGTCGCACCGAGCGCTTCTTGAGCTTGCTCGTCGAGCAAATGTCAAAATCCGCGTAGAACGCGTGCAGCAGTGCGTCTGTCGTGTGGTACTTGAGTTGCTCGTACAGCTCGAGCATCTCTTCTTCGAGGCGCACAAAGGCCTACCCCTTCGTGTTGCCGCAGCGTCAAACCGCAGCAAGCCACGTACAATGTCAAAGCTCGAGTGCGACGACTTCAAGAGATGCTGGCGCCGGGCACGCGCTGCACGCCGGTGGACGCGGAGCACCGGCGTCCACAACGTCTTGAGGGTCTTGGCGACAGGGCCCGTGGGCACGACGGTCGGGTGCAGCCGCTCGTGACCGTCGATCGCCGTCAAGATCGCATGGAGGCGCCCCATCTCTTCCAAATGCACCTACGTACACATCGCACTCGAATCGGGTCCTCTAATCGCGTACGCCCAGCGACAAAAAGTCGGGTTTGTCGTAAATGATCCAGAATTTGGACCGGTACAGCAGTGGCACGCATGCTTTTTGCCACAACTCAAAGATCGTGTCGCGGTACGTGCTCAGTAGCTCTTGGCGCCACCTACAAGCGCTAGAAACGCGCTTTCGATTGATGTAGGACGTACTGGAGTGACGCCATGCGCGTCAGCACGCCGCGAAAGACGCTTTGCAGGCGAACCACGTCGGCGCGAATGCGACCAAAGACGCGGGCCTGCTGCTGGCCTCGGAATCGTGCCTACGACGGCGTTGGTGGTCGTTTCGAGTGCAAAAGACCATGTACCTGGAGCCGCAAGATGCCATGGCGCAGCCGCTGCAGCCGCCGCGTGTACACCACTTGCTTTCCAAACGCCTACATCCCGCGCGTTGAGGGCGATCCGACGCGAGATCGCGCACCTGCAGGCGCAACAATGCTTGTCGCTGCCGCTGGTACGCAGCGCGCTGAGCGACCATGCGAAAGCGGCCCTACGCCACCACCGTTTGCACTTCCATTTCTCTGCAATTGGTACCTGAAGACACGTAATGGCCGCGCGCAGGCGACGATAGCTGGCTTGGAGTTGTTGGCGCTACATCGATACGACTCGCGGCAGCCAACAACGGGGTCGACGCACCTTGAGCCGTGCGGCGAGGTGCCGCTGGATGCAGAGTACGGCGCGGCGCATGCGCAAGTACGCACTGCGCTGGCGATACGACCGGTAGAACGCTTGCAACTACATGCCGATGCATCACCGCCAAGAATCATTCAGCGAAACGCACGCGCGTGACGAGGCGGCGCGTCGCATCCCACGTGGCTGCCGTGTCCTTGACGCACCTAACGGGTCGCATTGCGGCTAGCTCGGAGACGACGGCAGTGCGTACGTGCTGAGCCGGTAGATTTGCTGGTGCACGTCGACGGGCGCGACAAAGCGCTGCTGCTCTCGGGCAGCGTAGAGCTCGCGCGGCTTGCGGATCGTCCCAAAGAGGTGTCTAAACCGAGTTGGGAGTGCCCTCTCGGAAGGCCTTATAAGAATGTGTCTGTACTTTTTGAGCCGTGGAAAGGCCTTGTACTAGGGATGCAGAAAGAACGGTAAGTCCATTGATACATTGATACAAAGCCGTACGTGGTACACGGCGCCATTGTCGGGGAGGCCGAGCGTCGACGGCGACGGCGCCACGAACGTCTCCCGGATGACGTCCGTCTTGTCTTCGAGAAAGCTCACGTCGTGCTTCTTCTTCCCAAGCGACAAGGACCGGTTCAACTATCCAAAAGGTCACTATCTATCTATCCACTGGATAGAGACACGGAACCTTTTGGTTGATAGCTTGGTCGAAAAAAACAACCTCGGGCAGCGTCGGGTTGAAGAGTCGGTCCTCGCAGAAGCGCTGAAACATCTAAGTAGCTCGTGAACATGGGTGTGGACGCTAGAAGCATGTGCCTGGGACTCGATCATGACGCTCAGGAACGGCCGGGACGCGGCGTCGCTATTGTCGCGCAAGAAGCCGGCGGCATCAAAGATGGGCGCCGTGTTGGTCTTGCTGCTGTCATTGTTCTAGCCACCAAGGACCTTCAATGAACTGGAAGCGAGCGAGTGTCGCACCAAGTAGGACGCATAGCGCTTGAGCATGGAAATGAAGAAGCGCAAGAACGACTGTCGGACTTGGTCGGGCACAAACCCAGCACCGGGCGACGGCGTCGGTGGCAGCACGAGACCGTCGGCACCCGACGACGACAATGACCGATCACGCTCGAGCATCGACGCCGACGAGCTCGTGTGCGAGAGAAGCTTGAACGAGCTAAAGTGAAGGCTGCTGTACTGCGAGAGGGACGACGACGCAGTGAGGGACGCCGCCGACACAGCCGAGAGCGTGCGCTTGTCGCCAAGACTGCCCTTGCGGCTAGCGACGACGTCACTTGGCGCGGATGGCATGGGCAGCGTCATGCCTGACGAGGCGAAATCTGTGATGGGCTCGAGGTATTCGTCGCCGCCGAACGCCTACAGCTCCAGCATTGCATCGGTCGTCTCGAGAAAGCACGGTGTTACCCAGTCGGCCTTGGCAATCTCGGGTGCAAATGGATCAAACACGTTGGCGCAGTTTTGGAGTTTGACTTTGAGTTTTGTTGCAGCACGCTCCGGCATCTTGGGCAGCACAGTTTCCTAGCCCAAGAAGTCGCTTCTTCCTGATCATGGGACCAAGGAACGTACAATGCCGTCTTCATTGCGCGGCGGAATGATCCTAAGGAAATGACCGCCCGTGACGTGGCAAGTGCACACGCAAGATACCGATTGTGGTCCAAGTCGATGAAAAAGACGTCGGTCGAGCGACTGGCTGTCGCGAGGTACTTGGAGTGCACGCCGACAAGGAACGGCACGGGCGCCTGTACGAGCACTCTTCAGAGCCATGCAGAATGGACATAGTGTCTACGTCAATCACGTCGAGGAGCGACGACGGGAGCACGGGGATGTACGCGCCTTGCCACGCCAGCGGGAAGAGCAGCGTCAAAAGGGTCTCGGCGATCGGCGTCAGTAGCGCAAGGTGCTTGGAGCAGAGCGCCACCTACGCTAATGTGAGCCATTGAAATGTATCAAGGTATCAACTTTTTGCTCGAGCAAGAGACACGCCACGACCGTCAACACGTTGTTCATATCGAGCACTTGGAAGAGCGACCGAAGAGAAAACTATGTGCGTCATGTGGTGCACACTCCTAACGCGTTAAGAGTCGGCGTACGTCGGCGAGCGGCAGTTGGTTTTTTGGCGGCCGGGCAATGTAGATCGTGCGCTCGGGCAGCGTGAGCTGGACCTGAATGCGGCCCTAATATGCGCTGTCTCGTAAAACTACACACTGCAAGGGGTTCGAACCCGCGGTGGCATGGGCACCTCGCTCACAAAGTTGGCAATGTAGCGCTCGATTGGCATCGGCGCCGTCGAGAGCGAGAGTCGATAGATCTAAACCCAGTTGAGTACTATGGGGGCAGCGACGCATCGACCTGCTGCAGGAAAAGGCGGTAGCTCGAGAAGAGCGGGTGGTGCGAGATTAGTAAGAGGCACTTGGGGCAGTAGACGGACGTGGTCGACGCCGACCCGGACGAGAGGTCTTGCGCCCACTTTGGAATGACGGGCGCCTTGGACTTTTCGCTGCCGGGCGGCGGCGCAAACAAGGTGAGCTATGGCATCGCGTCGACTTGGATCGATGCAAAGGACACGAGGACGCACCACTTCAAGCGGTGAGAGCTCCTCGACAAACTTGAGTGCGCATGCATAAAGCTAAGCGTTGCTTTGTGAGCGTATACGTGTGCCAGTGCACAGCGGACCTTGGCACCGCTCACGTTGGTTAACACAAATGTAAAGAACGTGGGGGTGATGTGGGTTGGGCTGAGCGCCAGACCTTCTGGAAACGCAAACTAGAATGGTGGTTTCGATTCCTTGTGCCAGATAGGTGTGTAGGACGACCTGCGAAATGTGGCTCGGCAACGGCGCATCGGCGTGCGCATCCGGGAAGCTGTCGAGGATTGTCGGGACAAACTGGACGTCGCTCGGGCTCGCATTCTCGCCTAAACACAATTACATAGGCTATGGATATGAACGTAGTACTATGGAATAGGAGGCGTACCCAGCGGCTTGCCGAGGACGGCCTGGCCGCGTCCGACGACGACAAAGTAGTTGACAAAGCGCTTGGACACTTCGACGATCGAGCCGCTGGTCGTAGCACCGCGCCGCTCAGTCTTCTCGGACGTAGGACCTTGAAACGCCCGGCCGGCGTCGGTCGTAAAGGTACGCGCCTCGTACTTGAGGCGCACAAAGTCGTCGCGGCTCATGGCATTGCACTGGAGCGCGCGGCGCGTCGTCGCCTTGGCGTCCGGGCGCAGGTGCTTCTCGTAGACCGCGTTGACCGCGCGGTTGCCAAGCATTCGCTTGACTTCGTCGTCGGTCCAGCTGTCCATGTGCACGGACTTGACGCGCGAGATGTTGACACCGAGCTGCCGATGGGCGCCAGCGCACTGGAGACACACGAACGCGCCAAAGGTAAGCGCGGCCCACGTCGCATCGGAGGCCGTCGTCAAGGTGACGCCGCAGTCGGCGCAGGCCATGTTCTCGGGCGAGCCGCGCACGAGGTCTGCGACCCGCTGCCCGTTCTTGCTCATCCCCGACTGCTCGACGCGTCGGAAACCACCGCCCGTTTCGACTATGACCGAATTCGACGTTCTACTAACTAGATCCTTTCTGCAAAACCTTATATTGTCGTGCAAGCGGTCGCTGCAAGCTGCCTCGTCGGAGTCCCCTTGCGGTAGCCGTGGGAGCGCGCCGCTGACGATCTTTTTCAAATGATTACGTTCGTTGCAGCCTTGGCTGAGGCATGGTTAGTCGTTTAGTCGATGCTTGGATTCGGATATATCCGAAAACACACCCGAAGCGACGTCGGTTGCGACCTGCTTCTAGGGTTGGATGCCCGATTGAGAGTCCTGAAAAGGCCTGAAACAGGCCTGGTTGTATCTAAATAGGGTCATAGCCTACCGAAAGAAGCGAACTGGGGCTGGAGTCGTCCGGATGCCAGAGTCAGCATTTTGGATATCGACGAAGGCGAAGCATGAGCGTGTGGCATCTTGCCGAGGCGATCACGTGCCATGCATGGAACCATGACAAGTCCAAGGTGGCCATCTGCCCCAACACGAATGAGATCTGGATCTACTCCAACTGCCATGCGCCCGACGTGGCCCAGTGGCGCAAGGAAGCCATCCTCACCGAGGTAGACATGGCCCGCCTCCTGCATCCAGCCTCACGCCACCGTAGCACGACATGGTCGTGAGCGGCCTCGACTGGTCGCCGGTCCACGACATGATTGTCTCGTGCTCGCACGACCGGTCGGCCTTTGTGTGGACTTACAACCCGTCCGAGCGCAAGTGGAAGCCGTCGCTGGTCGTCTTGCGCATCACGCGCGCGGCCATCAACGTCAAGTGGAGTCCCGATGGTACGTCTCGCGCCTCATATATCTGCGTCGCCCATGCGTCCAATGCGCAGGTAAGAAGTTTGCCGTCGGGAGTGGTGCCAAGTGCGTGTCCGTGTGCTACTACCAAGCGCTCGACAACTGGTGGATTTCCAAGATGATCAAGAAGCACAAGTCGACGTACGATCGTCTTAGCTTTATTGCATGCTGGGTGCTTATGTATATGCTAGCGTCGTCGACTTGGACTGGCACCCCAACAGCCAGCTCCTCGTGACGGCGAGTACGGACATGAAGTGCCGTGTCTTTGGGGCGTACATCGCCGACGTCGACGCCGCGCCGGACGCCGGCCCGTTCCCGGCCATGGCGCCCTTTGGCGAGCCCATGGCAGAATTCGACAATGCCAACGCGTGGGTCAACGCGGCGGCGTGGTCGACGCACGGCGACCGCCTCGCGTTTGCGGGCCACGGGTCGTCGATCCACTTCGTGCATTTCGGCCAGCCCGGCGAGGTCCCGACGCTACAGGTACGACATCACTGCTTGTCTTACCTCTTATTCCGTCTTATTGCCGTTGCTTTAGTCGATTCGCTTTCCCCATCTCCCGCTCACGCGTCTGCTCTTCCTCTCGAACGATGCGGTCGTTGGCTGCGGCTACGATTTCAACTTGCTGCTCTTCACGATGGACCGCAACGGGTACTGGTCGTTCTCGGAGTTTCTCGACAAAAAGTCGGCGACGCCTGCCAAGGCCGCGCTCGGCGGCGGTGGCTTCAACAGCAGTACGCCGATGCTTATGAGGCATGGCAGATCTGAGGATGCATGATGCGCTAGTGCGGCAGCAGTGGGAAAGCAAGGTGTCCCGCGGCCAGTCGGCGGACGCAACGTCGGGCGACAAGGGCGCGCTCTGGACGTACGCAATCACCTTCATTTTTCGCCAAACTCGAGCACTCTGTGTAGGAAGCACGAAGCCACAGTCACGTGCCTGCAGCCGTTTGCTCGGTCGAGCAACGGCTCGATCACCGAGCTGACGTCGTCCGGTACAACGTATCCGTCTCGACGAGCCTCGCGTATGAAACGTGTGTTGCTGTAGGTCTCGACGGCCGCATCGTCTTGTGGAAGCTCTCCTCGTTGAGCTTGGACATGGCCAAGCTGCGCCTTTAAAGCACAAGCTCCTCGCTAGCAGCTCGACCGACTAGAGCTTGCGGTGCGAATGTCTTCTCAACACGCATGCGCCGAGCGCATTGTACTACGTGTCTTGTGTCTTTGCGGCCAGTGCTTCGCCATGGCGCGCTTGCATCGAGGGGCGTGTTCGTCCGTGCCCAGCACCAAGCTCGGCGCTCGCCCCCCGGTGGTCTGGGCAACTTACATGATAGCTGCATGGTCGCTTGGCGTTGTCACTTGTGTGTCTACAGTTGACGAGACGCCTTGAGCTGCCACTTGGCGCCCTGTGATTGGCGCCATACCGTAATCATGGCACATATGCTTGGGTCGCCTCGTCCTTGCCAACGCTATCGGCCTTTGAGAAGGACTTGGTGTCCTACCTCATATCTCTGCCATCGCCCGAGGCTATGCTATTCACCAGCTACCAATTACTAGTATGTATGCGCTGGACCAGTGGCACGACGTCATCGGCGTCCGATGCTCGCGTCGCTGACGTTGCCGTTCTTCAAAACCTCTCAAACTCGATTCTTGAAGCCTGCCCCTTCGTAATATACCACACAGCTGCTGTCAAATTGCAGTTCGAATTTGGCGAAAAGACGACGAATGGCGGGCGTCGTCTTCCTCACGTACGGCGTCCTGAGCCTCTGCGTCGTGGGCTTTGTCGCAGTCTTTTATGGCTCATACTACCTCTCCAACAAGTACTTGGCCGTCTTCCGCGCCTTTTCCGAGGTCCAGAAGGGCGAATGGTGCTCTCGGTACGCGCGTCCAAAGATTTTTGTATATTGTCGCTCACGACGGGCGTGCTAGGATCAACTCGACGATCCACTCGACCGTCATTTGCGCCGGTCTCCTCTACAGCTTTAGCCAGCAGGAATGGGACGCACACTTGATGCCGATCCACAGCCTCGACCTCGCGATCGGTCTCTTTTCGTTTTGTACGTCTTAGCTTCTTCTTATTGATCCTGGTGCTCATATGAGAACCTGTAGCGATCGCGTACTTTCTCTTCGACTTGTACGTCGTGTACGCGTGGAAGATTGAGCACTACAAAGTGTTTGTTGCCCACCACATCATTGCCATGTACGTCCTTCTGTAGATAGCCCGTCTCATGTTATCGGCGTAGGATCCCGTATGTGCTCTACAACTTTTACGGCGGGTGCACGATGAACACATACCTTTTGAGCATGTATCTCCTCGTCGAGATTTGCATTCCGCCCATGAACCTCGCGACGATCCTCGACCTTCTCGGGTACAAGGAGACGGCGGTATACATTGGCCTCTTCTATGTCGCGTACATTGCGTGGTTCTTTGCACGCGTGTGCCTCCCGCTCTACACGCTCTACGTCATGTGGGCCGACTTTATTCCGGGCACGGACTGGAGTTCGTTCCGCGTTTTCCTCTGCACGGCGCCGCCACTGCTCTGCGGCCATGTCATTTCCGTCTTTTGCATTGGGTGCTTTGTCACGATGATCACGCCCGACGTCATTGCGCGCTGGCAACCACCGAGTGAAGACGCCCAAAAAAAAACGCCGATGGCGCAGCAACACGCGTCGGCCAAGAACTACGGGGCCCTCGAAGCGGTCTAGATGCGCTTGGGTCGCCCGACGCCGTCGCCATCGTGTAGCCCATTCGCTGCCATTTCATTTGCTGTGACCACGTTGTTGACGTCGCACGCCAATGTATTTCATCCTCGACTATGCACCTTTAAGCATGCAATACAAGCTCGCTTCGACGATCAAATGGCTGGTGCAAGCGGCGTATCAGAAGGACGATCATGATGCAAGTAGGCTGGCTGCATGGCCACGGCCGCGTGGAGTAGAGTTGGCCAGTGCATGGATGGCCGGTAACGTCAGCAGCGTCCAAGGTTATCGATGGAGCACGTAAAGCTTACTCTATTGTAGTTTACTATCGTAGTCATCGCATACCTGTATGAATGATGCGGGTGTCGACGGCTGCGCGCGCCCTTGCATCATCGGCGGCAAGTGATGTCATGCTGGAGGCGGGAGCTTCCGTAAGCAGCGGTCCGGCCGTCCCATGCGCGTCATCCCGCTGCAGTCGCTTTGATTGGCGCGATCGTGTCACATCCTGATCATTCATTGGGTATATTCGAACGTTGCTGCTGATTGGTCCGTTCAACGTCCCACGGACACGCCACTCGGTACTTGGATGCTTCTGGCGCACAACTGAAGCGTCGAGATCGCCGCCACCTGTCGCCGGCCGCCACCGCTACTACTCGCCCGATGCTGCCTCTTCCGACGTGCATGCAGTGGGCCAACATGGCCTGGCTCCTGCGCAAGATCAAGTTCTACGTGGTCATCAACAGCTTCATCTGCACGATCGCGGCCGCCACGTACTGGCTCGCAGCGCAGGCCACAGAGACGTCGCTGCTCTCGGTGCTCGGCCTCCGGTACCTCGGCGTCGTTGTGCGCATCTTTGGCGTCCTCGCCTGGTTCCAGTGGATCTCGTCGTTCAAGGACGTCATCCACGGCGAGAAGCGGTCGGCGCCGTCGTCAGCTCAAAACATGGTCATCCTCGCGCGCATCTTTTGCATTGTCGTGCCCACCGAAGTGGTCTCGGCGTCGATTGGCATCTACTTCAATCCATCGAGCGACGCAGACTACTGGAGCTACCTCGAGGCGTACGTGTACTTTATTCCCAAGTCGCTCGTGCTCGAAGTCATTTTCGACTTGTTTCATTATGCCGCCCACTACATCTGCCACATCGTGCCGAGCTTGTACAAGCACGTGCACAAGCGCCACCACTTGCACTTGCACCCGACACCGCTCTCGACGTACGAGCAAGACGGCGTCGACTTGGTCTTGACCAACGTTTTGCCCATGACGCTCGCATTTCTCTTGGGCCCGAGCGTCTCGCCGACGCAGCTCCAGCTCGTGCTCGCATACAAGACGTACGTCGAGATCGCGGGCCACTCGGGGCTCGACATCAAAGGCTTTTCGTTTCCGCAGATGCCGCTCTTGTCGTCGTCAAGTATTTGCCTCCGCGTGCACGACCACGATCTGCACCATACGCACCCCAACTACAACTTTGCCAAGCGCTTCAGTCTCTGGGACAAGCTCTTCAAGACGTTCAAAGCGCCGACGACCGTATCCGCCGCCGCATACTAGAGAGAACATTTACGATGACCTGTATTTGTAGTAGTGGAGTACTAGTAGACTAGATAAGCAATGAAGGATTTAGGCCAGCAGCAAAAATGTGCCGTCCAATGCAGCAGACCGACGCAGTGACGGCTCAAATCTCTCCTGCCGCTTGCCTTAGACCCTAGCAGGGTCGAGCGTTGAGTGCTCTTGTGCTATCTCGGTCAAGCGACACCTTGAGATGCTGAAGTCTCTGGCTGGTTTGCGTCGAAGAGGTACACTGCATGCAAAGCCTTGGTGCATGGAACAGAACACGCATTTCCCGAGCCACCTCGTCGTTTTAGCTCACTGAATGCGACCAAAAGACTCGATGGATCCATAAAGAGACGGGTAAGTCACACGTCCAGGCGAGAGGCGCGTTGCTCCACGAGGGTCAATCTGTGGACAAGGGCGCGTCATCGCAACGCCGCATGTGACGGGCTCGAAACCGCTGTGCCTATTGTTAGCACAGTGGATGACAGTTCGCTTTGGGGATGCATGCGTCCATGGAGCTGCCGTCGATAACGAGCCACAAAAAGATGTTGAGCATGAGCGCGATACCTCTTCAACTGGAGCCGCTCGGGTACAAGCCCAAGCAAGGCGCGGGGACGGTCGACCGCTTGCAGCAGGTGCGTCGCGCCACCATGTCTCCGGATCGACGAAGCCGCCTAGTTTGACCCGCAGCTTTCGCCCCCCAAGTACAAGCTCGAGAAGCTCTCGGCGCCATCGCCCGTCAAGGACAAGGTATTGCCGTGTGGCAAGATATGTGCGCCGAGAGCGTACGTGTAGGAGCCCGATGCGATGGTGTGTCGAAAGCAGCATCTGCAAGCGATCGCACCCAGCAGCGCGCAGCTCGAGAAGTCGGTCCGACACTCGAGCCACGGCTTCCACCATGTCGACGCAAGCGACGAAAGCTCGCAGTCCAAAGACGCGCTGCGAACGACAATGCCACATTTGCAGCATTTGCCCCACGACTAGAGGCGCTGGATTATTCGTGTACATAGGAACGTAGACTACCCTAGTCGTACAAGCGCGCTCGCTTGTACGGCTGTTTCTCTTCATCCTCGTCTTCTTCGTCGGCCTCGTCTTCGTCGTCGTCGTCGCTGCTGCTTACATTGGCCTCGCTATTGCTCTCCGAGTCGGACGATGCGCTGGCGTCATCTGCGACTTTGGCGGTGGCTGCGGGCTTGACCACGAACTGCGCTGTCGCATGCTGCGCCGTCATTTCCTTGGCCTTGGTCACAAAGAGTTCATGGTTTTGCTTGAAGAGATCCGTCTAGAACATGCAACTCGCCGTCAGTAGTAAACAGCATCGTGTAAGCCTACGATCTCGGGCATCAAGCCATCGTCCGGGTTGGGCTCGGCCATCAAGAGGCGGATCGTTGTCAAAAGCGTCGAGAGGTTCACCGAGGGCATCCACGAGCCCTAGAGACCATCATGTTCCTGCGAGTTGTCCGCTAGTTCTACCTTGGGCTGCATCTTGAGCGTGTCCAAGCAAATGCGGCCGCCATTGTCGATATTGGGGTGGAAAATCGGCGTCGTAAAATGGACCTTGGGCGGCTCGAACGGGTAGCTACACAGTTTGCCCTAACTTGCCGATGGTCGCGCAGTACGTGGCGCACCGCTCCGGGACCTTGATCTCGAGGAGGAAGACGCCATTCTCATACGGCGTTCCTTCCGGTCCTTGGATCTCTACATCGAAGAAGGTATCGGATGTGTCCTGCCATCAGGACCCTCGTACGGGCTTGAAGGTCGTCGAGCTTGTCGTCTACCGACCAGGCGCAGATGCCTAGCATGCAGCCATGAGCGCATCATCCTGCGCATGGAGGTAGCATGGTCTTCCGTCGCATGTCGGGGTAGTACCATGGGGCGGGTCCGTCTCGAGCATCTCGAGCTCCTTCCGCATGCGCGATCGCATTGCCGCCATCTTTCCGTTGGAATTTGGATGGACTTTTGTCCAATCCGCGCGCACCAGAAGCCTAAAGCAAGAGGCTCGTATCCTTAGGCACACATCGACTGTGACAACTTATATAAATCATTTGACACAGGTTCGACTTCGTCCAACATGCAAAAACCATCGATTAGGTATCAAGACGGAGAGCCCACTCTTGTAGGTAGATCGACCTCCCATGCAGGGACCTCAATGAAAAGCAAGCGCTAAAAACCCTCTTGCCCTTGCGGTGCATATTACGATTTAGTGCGTCAATGATAACAAAAAACAGTGGAGATAAGCGGATTTATCATTACTACTCTACCACAACTCTATATTTTGTGACTCTCGTGGGTCAATGTATACAAGGTCTTATAGTGTAGCGGTTATCACGTCTCCTTGACGTGGAGAAGGTCCCCGGTTCAAGTCCGGGTAAGACCATACTTTTTCCTATCCAGTGCGTGAAATATTTTAAAGACATATCGAATAGTTTTGGCAAGGGTCAATAAACTGATTGTTAACTCTTGGCTGAGACTTCCAACGTGATTTTTAGCTGTCACCTCGGTACAGGCTCTTGCTGGTCGAAAGCAAGGGTACTAGTACATGAGTGGCCATATCGAAAGCCAACGATCGAGGCCGCGAATTATTCGACTGTACATGTATTATATAATTAAAATGCTGATGGTGGTGGTGATGGTTTCTAAAAACAATGGCGCGACCTAAGGAATACCTTGCACCGTCGAGCTGACCATGAACCTAGGTGTACTAATCGTATGCTGATTGGTCGTGCTCTACCCCATCAGCCAATCCGAATACGCGAAAGGACACCATTGAATAGCGCGTGGTCATTCGTGGTCTTCTCGTTGTCATCCACATCATGAAGCTCGTAGTGCCGGTTGCGCTCTTCGCCCTCGGCGCGATCTCTGCCATTGCGGCCCAACGCTTTCTGCAATCGCCATCGCCACCAGCGACCAAGCCGTCGGCCCGCGACCTCCCGGCGACCGCCCCGTCGTCGTCGTCAGGCCAGGTCTTGACCAACGAGCAATTCTCGCGCATCAATTCGTTCTTTGGCGACGAAGGCTTTGCCAAGATTCAAGATGCCTTTGTGATTGTGATCGGTCTTGGCGGCGTCGGGTCGCACGCTGCTCACATGCTCGCGCGGTCCGGCGTCAAGAAGCTCCGCCTCATCGACTTCGACAACGTGACACTCTCGTCGCTCAACCGACACGCTGTCGCGACGCGCGCAGACGTTGGCTTGTCCAAGGCTGCTGTGCTCAAAAAGCACTTGCACGAAATCGTGCCGCAATGCGAGGTCGAGGCGGTGCCTCTCATGTTTGAGGCCGACGTCGCCGACGAGCTGCTCGCGGGTACGATGTCTTTGTCGCACTTGCATGTATATTTGCTCACAACGAATAACCTATGCAGGCAACCCGACGTACGTCTTGGATTGCATTGATGACGTGACGACCAAGACTGCTCTTTTGGTCGCGGCGAGCACGAAGGGCCTCAAGGTGATCACGGCGACCGGCGCCGGCGGCAAGGCTGACCCGACGCGCATTCACATTGGCTCGCTGCAGGACGCTGTGCGTACGTATTTGGCGTTGCTGACACATTGTGCTTGAAATAACGACTAGGCGATCCGTTGGCGTCCAAGATTCGCTACTTTCTCAAGAAGAAGGGTATCGACGCGTCGACCGTCACGACGGTCTACTCGAGCGAAAAGACGATTGCGAAGCTCTTGCCGCTCGATGCCGAGCAGGCCGCGGACCCCGGTGCGTTTGGCAACGTCGAGAACATGCGCATCCGCGTCATCCCGGTGCTTGGCACGATGCCGGCGATGTTTGGCCAGTCGATGGCGGCTTTCGTCTTGACCGACATGGCCGGGCTTCCCATCAAGTACACTCCCTATTGTCCTCTCGCTTCTGATTTGTTCTGTCTAGTCCCGAAAACATGCCCAAGCTCGGTCGCGAGCAACGCAACAAGTTTTACCAGCAGCTTCAACAGCGTGAGAAGAACCTCGGGTTTTCCCAAAAGATTGCCGTCGACAAGGTACACGACAATATTGTTGACACACATGTCTCATGGATCGAGTAGGATGATATGGACTTTCTGTACCAAGAAGTGTGGAAGGCCCGCAGCTCCGTGAGCGGCATTCGCTGCGGCGGCGTCGACCGCACGTACATGACGCGGTGGCGCAAGGACCAGCCTCTCTCGCCGGGCAACATTGTCATTTTGACCACGAAGGAGCTCAAGCAAATGGACGACCACGGCATCGAGTCCTTTGGCGACGACGTAGTCGCTCGCATTGACGCCAACCTGGCGTCGTTCGGACCCTGGGAAGTTTAACAAGAGACAATTAGAGCAGCGAACAATGCGTTCCACGTTACAGCGCCTTTTCAGCCTCGTACTCGGCTTGGGTCATCCAGCTGCGGTGGAGCCAAAGGCCACGCGACGGCACGGACGGACCTGGCTCGATCTGGCCGTCAAGAACTTGCGTCATCAGCTCCGGACCGGCGCGCCCTTCGCCGACACTGCGCAAGGTGCCAACGATGCGCCGCACCATGTGCCGAAGAAAGCCGTTGCCTGTAATCTCGATGCACACGACGAAATTCTCGTCGAGAGAGTCGGGGTCCTGTGGCAATATGGGGCCCGTGCCTGATCGCGTCAAGTCGAGCGAAAAGTCGACATGTCTAGTCAAGGGGTAGGTCTTCTCAAATACCAAAAAACGATTGTGTACCGACGCGGCACGACCTTGCACTCGACAATGGTCCGGAGCGTGTTCATATCGACAAAATGGTCCTTCTGAAGCCCCATGGAAAACGTGCGGAAATCATGCGTGCCCGTAATGAGGCTACTCAAATCTGAGGCGACAACGTCAGCGTGCGATAACACCAACCTCAAGGCGTCGCGCAGCTTGGGCAAGTCGAGACGCTTTCCGATGAACCACGAGTACGGCGACGATTCGTGGACAGGTCGCTTGCCTTGCTGGATGTAGTAGACGTACTTCTTCAACTTGGACTTGGTGCGGTGCTTGAACGTACTCGGTGGCACGATGGCCAGCGTCTGCGCCAGCACCGCTTCGGGAAGTCTAAATAATGATGATCAATTCCATGTCACTATCAAAGTTGGTCGTACGAGGCGTTGATCTCGCGCAGCATGGCGGCAGGGTCGTGCGCCGGCGACTCGTCCAGAACGAACGTGCAATATTGCTAGCCACGATCGATTCAACTCAAGTGTTGGGACGAGCGTACTCTACCTGGAGAGCGTGCGTGCCCGAGTCGGTCCGGCTCACAGAGGTGACGTTGATGCGGTCGCCTTGCGGACGATAGATCGTCGAGACCGCGTCCTCAATAACGTCCTGGACGCTTAGCATGAGCTTGCCGCCCGTCGCGGACGCTGCCTACGACATCATATGAGCCTGTCCAGAGCGCAAGAAGAAGTATTCGCACTTGTCGCTGCCAGCCCACAAAGGCTGTGCCGTGGTACGACACCATCATAATGAACTTGGTGCGCCCGGGACCCGCCATCGTTGCCAATGATGACAAGCGAATGGGACTGGCACCAGATGGGCTATTTCCACCCAACTTTCGCTCGATGGCCAATTTGGATGCTCATGACGTCCAAGAACCAACGACACTATCGGATATGGTGTGAAGGGAGCACTAAACATTTTATGGCACCGACGGGCACTCGACCGCATGGAGATTGCGGCCATGGGGACGGTAAAGTTGTTGTCGCATGCGACGTGGCGCGTTGAGTGGCGTGCGTTTAGATTCGCGTAGAAAGTGCAATGTCGAAGAACAAAACTGGAAACGGCGCGAGTCGTCGTCCTCTACACTTGTCGTTCTCGACACTCTCGCGCATGGGCATTGTCTGCAGCTCGACCGAGTCGGTCGTCGAGTCCCACGATGTGCGCGCGCCCAAACACTGCCGCACCAAGAATCCTAGTCAGCCACAGCACCGCCGACGGCTTCCGTTGGGGTCGTCCACACTGGTTGAGCTCTGCTTGGACCGCCTCGCGATCGAGGTGGCCTCCGCGCCAGCCTCAGTGGATACTGCGGTACTACCGCCAGAGCTCTTTGGCGCGCTCCTGCGTCGGCTCGTGGCGCACGAAGCCCTGACGGCCGACTTGTTTGCACGGCTTGGCGAGTCGCTCCCGTTGGGCACGCGCGTCGACCTCACCGATTGCGCTGACGTCGACACGGGCTGGCTGCAAGCTCTTGCGCCTTCTATTACAGCGTCGCTGATGCACATCGACTTGACGCGCTGCACTGGCGTCGAGACGCTGGGCCGCGAGCCGCTCGCTGCGCTCCGCGTCGCCAAGCTGAGCCACTGCAAGAACATGTCACCGTTGGCACTGCACCCACTCTCCAATGCGACGCACTTGTCTGTGCTGCATCTCGCTGGATGTGCTCTCTTGCGCAACGAATCACTCGGGCACCTCTTGTCGTGCACGCAACTGACCGACTTGGACCTGGTAATTGAAATGGATACCCCGCTCTCTCGGGCATTCATCGTGATTAGTCCCAATGCCCCTCGATCTCCGATACAGGTTTGTTTGCTTTGCCACCGAGTCTACGACGACTCAACTTGAGTCAGTGCTCTGGTATCTCGGACAGAGGCGTGCTTGCGGTCGTGACAGGCCTGGCTTCGCTCCTTTCCCTAAACCTTGGGCTGTGCAACATCACGTACTCTTGCTCGTCAATAAATCGTCGGTTCACTTAGCCTGAGCTTGAAACTAGAAACGGCGCCTTAGCCATGCTTGCTGTCCATGCGCATCAGCTACAGCACTTGGTGCTCTCAGGCTGTCGCGCTGTCGACCAAGCCGGCGTCAATCTACTCGACTCGCTTTCAGAGCTCGTTTCGTTTGAAGCTAGTCAGTGTCGCCTTGTTCAGAGTCCCCACCGCGCGTGGGCTAGCTTGACATTCCTCGACTTGTCCACCTCGGGCGTGAACGATACGGGGTTGGCGGTGCGGTTTGCATGGCTCCTACCCTCTTACCCTCAGCTGTCTTGCGTAGGTCACCGCGTCGCTGGAGACGCTCACATCCCTCGATGTCTCGCAAAGCCAGGCAACTGCTACGTCCGCGCTCAGAGCCAATGACCAACGCACTCATTCAAAATCGGTGTAGTTCATTCCGATGCCTGCGATCGCTCTCTCGCCTGCGGTACTTCAAGGCCGCGCGCACCAAGCTCAACGATGCGACTTTTCAAGTCCTCTGCGAGCACTTGACGTCCCTCGAAGAGCTCCACGTGGCGCACACCGACGTCTCGGACATGGGCGCACGAGGTCTACCCCATCTCAAGCACCTCACAAGCTTGGTGCTGAGCACAGAAGGCGTCACGTACCACAGCTTGTCGTCCGTGGGCTCGCTTCATCAGCTCACGAGCTTGGCCCTCTTTGGTGCAAGGTACGCGGTGCATGGGTTTTGGGCACACACGATTCTCGGCGCGTAGCATCGCCGACCGAGGTCTCGAGTACCTCGCATGTTTGCAGAGTCTGCGTCGCCTCGTGCTCTGCAGCGGCTACCTCACGGACCGCGGTGCCGGCATGCTTGCGTCCTCAGCGCCGCACTTGACGGAGCTCAATGTGAGCCACAACAAGTTGTGCTCTCCAAACCACCAGACTTTGTCATGAACGAAATTGCCAATGGTATAGGGAGTTGCGGGACGCTGGTTTGAAATGCTTGGCGCAGCTGCGACAGCTCAAAACGTTGAATGTGTCCAACACGAGCATCGACGCCGCGTCGCTTGTTCATCTTCAGCGTACACTACCTTTTCTCAAACCCAATCGGCCCACGGCAACGACTGGTACTAGCCCTGCAGCACTTGGAAACACTGCTCGCATACGGTCTCGTGCTCACTCGAAAAGAATTTGCCGCTTTCAAAGGTGCGTCTTCCTTTCGACTAGAATTGTATTGCGACGTGTGGGGGACTTTCATGATTGCACGATAGACGCCATGCCCAGTCTGTGCTTGTTCCGTTGCAGTCACTGACGCTTAACCCTTCAACGCCCAACTTTTTAAGACTACGGATCGTCCGTATATAAGGCCCCGTCGTTTCGGGCAGTGTCTTTTTCGAGCGTTCTCCTCCCCGTGACAAAAGTACAGCCCGTAGCTACTACTAGTAGAAGCGTTTGCGGCCAACTAATAGCGCTGTGTGGTCGCAAACTAACCTGTAAAGTTGATTGCTCCGCTGATGCCCACGCCGTAGATCGCTGGTATATTGACAAGGAAATAAATCCAGCAACGGATCTTCCGTGGCAACCCGCATGGTGTATGCAAATTTGATGCGGTGATGCGCCGACGTCGCCTTGCATGTTATTTCTCGAGTGCCCAAGAATGCAGATCCATCAAACAGCATCGATGGTCGAGGCGTCGCGACGTCGACGCTACGTCGTGGTATCCACTGGTCGCTACTGGGCCGTGACGTCATCGGGTCCGATTGGGCCTGTAAAAAGTGCATCATCCCAATGTTTGTACCCGTCCCCCACCCAGGCCCTACAGTTTCAACATCCAATACATTTTATTCGAAAAAGACACACTGGCCGGGGTCGGGGGACCATACCAAACAAAGGGCAAAGTCGTTGAAGTGGGCCATTTTCGGATTTGCCATGGCCGACGGCAGCAGCGACGCGACGCGCAATGCGATCCTCCTCGTCATGGTGACGATCGTGCTCACCAAGGTGCTCGACGTGCTCTATAAGCGGTACCAGGCGGCGCAGAAGGCCAAGCTTGTGACGCTCCAGCCGGACGCGACGGTCATGCTCGAGCTCGTCGAGAAGGAGGAGCTCTCGGCCGACACGCGCCGCTTCCGCCTTGCGTTGCCGTCGCCCGAGCACGTGCTCGGCCTTCCGGTCGGCCAGCACATCTCGCTGCGCTACACGGATGCCGAGGGCAAGCTCGTGCTCCGCTCGTACACGCCCGTGAGCTCGGACGACGTCAAGGGCTACGTCGACCTCGTCGTCAAGGTCTACTTCAAGAACGTGCACCCCAAGTTCCCGGACGGCGGCAAGATGTCGCAGTACCTCGACAACATGGCGATCGGCGACCGCATCGAGGTCTCTGGCCCCAAGGGCAAGCTCACGTATGTTGGCAAGGGCGAGTGCCACTTCAAGCACCGCGTCAAGGACACGACCATCGAGGTGCGCAAGGCGAACAAGATTGGCATGATTGCGGGCGGCACCGGCATCACACCGATGCTCCAGGTCATCCGCTACGCGCTCCGCGACCCGACCGAGACGACCGAGTTTCACATTTTGTTTGCCAACCAGACCGAAGACGACATTTTGCTCCGTGATGAGCTCGACGCGATGACGCGCAACTACCCGAACGTCAAGGTCTGGTACACGGTCGATCGCCCTACGGACAACTGGGCGTTCTCGAGCGGCTTTGTCAACAAGGAGATGCTCGCCGCGCACATGCCGGCGCCGGGCCCGCACACGCAGATCTTCATGTGCGGCCCGCCGCCGATGCTCAAGTTTGCCGTCATGCCGGCGCTCGAGGAGCTCGGGTACACGCCTACCATGCTCTTTACCTTTTAAAGCGCCGACATTTAACGTTTGCGAACACCGCTTTTGACACAATTTCCATTCCTTTTCGCACATTTCTGGGTTGTTGTATGAGATAGTGGTGCGTTGGTCACTAGCGTATACGTATATATTGGGCAAGCAAGTCCCTCCTGCAGTCACGATGGCGTCGTCGTTGTTGCCCTTGAGGAACGTCTCTGTCTTCACTGTGCCAAGCCGTCAGTCATCACAAACGGGCTTGATGACAGTTCATTGGTGGAAAATCCTTAAAAACGGCATTTTCGACAAATCCTGCCGCCGCACGATGAGGCTGCGATAAGTACGCTCATCATTGTGCCTCCACTAATTTCAAGAGACCCTCTAAAGTGCGCTTGAAGTTGATGAAGATTTGCGATCTTACGGTCCACGGAACGCCATGGCCATGCGTCTTATCGCGAGCGTGCGTAAGCTGATCCAGGCATGCGGAAAGAAACCAGGAGCGTAGGTGGTGCTCTACGCGGCAGCAGCAGCATCTGCCCACACGTCGCTGCGCGTTTTGTGGCCGCCGCCGAACTACCTCGTCGCGACGCCCAACGTGCCGATCGCTATCGCTGTCACTGGCCCGACGACCGATGGGCACATTCGCTTGACAGGGCACAAGCTGCGGACAACATTTGCCATGCAGGCGCCCGGAGCTGTCATTGGAAACATCTACCTGGGGTCGCATCATGTGTTGGTCGAGGCCCTTAGCGCCAACTTTACACGAATCAGCGCACCCATTGTGCTCTACATTGAGCGCATCCCGTCCCGAGTCGAGCTGTTCCGAGACTCGGGACGATCCAAGATGGCGCTGGTGGCGCTGCCGGCGGCCAAGGCGGCGCGCCCTACGACACGGACGCTCTGTTTCGGAGGGGCGTCGTCGCCAATGGACGGGCAAAAGCGGCTTTGGCTGCGTCTTCTTGCGTCGCTTCGAAGGCATCCCACCGTCGACTACTCGTTCCACGTTCGTTAGCTTCTCTTGTATACCGCCGAGTCAATTGGGTGCGATAGGTCTTCCTGCTCGAGCCCAAACCAGTGCATCCCACAGACGTCTTTACAGCCCACGGCTGGAACGTGACGTATGTACCCATGATGGTACGACTTTAGCACCCTTGTCCATAGTCAATATGCTAGTTGCTATTAGTGTATCTAGGTCTTACGCAAAGACATTGCCCGGTATGACATCACACACGAGAAAATGATGGCGGCGCTGGCCGACTTTGGACAAGCCGACGATCGAACGACGTTTCCGTCGTACGTCCATTCGCTCTGGGCATCGCTCGCTGAAGCCTTTGCGCCGTGTAAAGGCGGGGTCCTTAGCTACCCCAACTCGGCCAGCGACGTCGATCGAGTCTGGGCGGCTGTGGGGCGCGCTGTCGGCGCTGCAGGTGTCGTTCTCGAACTCTCGGGGGTTATGCCCATGCCACACTCTGTCGATCTGCTCGTCGGGCCGTCCCAGTACACCGTCGACCACCCCAGTGTCTCACAAGTCATGCGCGCCGGCATTCGAACCGTGATTCCGCCCGGCGTCGATCATGCAATTTTTGCTTCCCGTGCTCGCAGTCCAAATCCCTGTGTCGTCGTGGGATATCTCGGTCGCATTGTTGCCGAAAAGTCCCTTGGGCTCCTCGCACGCGCCGTCGAGCTCCTTCTGCAGACCAACATGACTGCTTCGTGCGTCACCTTTCGCTGGGTTGGGGACGGCGGCGATGCCAAGTATTACAAGCGCTACCCGATCACACTTCTTGGAAGCATCGACGACGAGGCAGCACTCGTCCACGAGCTCCAGACATGGGACATGGCCGTGCAGCCCGGCCTCCAAGAAACATTTTGCATTGCCAACTTGGAAGTCATGGCCATGGGGCTACCACTCGTGACCTTTGGCGTCGCTGGCGTCGCCGAGTACGTTCGCCACATGGAGAATGCGTGGGTCGTCGATGAGATATCGCCGCCAGCATTGGCCTCGGCGATCGCGCTTCTGGTGGATGATCCGACGTTGCGACGTCGACTGGGCCATGGCGCGCGACGCACCATTGAGACGCGGTACACCTGGGCCCACACGGTGGCCGCGTACGACGAGGCGTACGGTCGTCTGATTGGTCATGCCACGTACAAGCCCTGACCCGTTTCTATAAGCGGGTGTCGACCGTGTGCTGGCGCAGCGCTAACTCTAATTTCAACGTGGACGCATGTAAGTGGCATATTGAGTTCGGAATTGAAAGATTGAAAGATAAAGTCGGTGGTGATGCCTGCACACTCTGTCCCATTGTTGTCGATGGCTAGCCCTTCTTCTTTCCTGGGGACGACAGGGGCTTCTTCCCATCGGCCGACGCACTGAGCCCCATGGACGTGTCCAGCTCGCCAACGTCGTCGAGGTCAGCGAACGACGCGCGCTTTTGTATCCGCTTCTTCTTTTTGTCTTGATCGAGAAGCACTTGCTTGGAGGCCTTCTTGACCCGGTCACGTGACAGCGCATCGTCGTTTTCGTCCATCGCCATGTCGTCGCCGTCCAAATCGTCGGGCAGGAGCCCGTCGCCCGGCAGCGGAATGCGCTGGTTGTACGGGCGTGCGAGGCCAACGCTGAGCTCGTCGTCGGCGGCTTGGAGCAGTTCGGTCTCGTCGACTTCATTTTTCAATGGCTTTTGAGCGCGCACCGCGGCGGCGTGCATGAGCGTCAAGATGTTGGTCAGCGTCACTTCGCTCTGGTGGAGGGCCTCGACGATGGTGTCGTCGCCGACATGAATTGCCTTGCCGTCTTCCCGCACCTAATGCAATGTCTAAGCATGTTGCACCATTCAATAGGGCAACGCACCGACTCGATCTTGTCGACCAAGTGCTCGACGCCGGCCTTGACGCTGATGAGGATCTTGGCGACGCGTTCGTACTTGAGGCGTGCACGCTCGAGCTTGGCGGTTGCAATGTTGAGGTTGGCTTCGTGGTCGTCGACCATTTTGCGTCGATGGCCGCCGCCACTGCCGCTGTACTTGAGCTCTTCGACGTGCGTTTTGAGATGGACGTGTTCGGCTTGGAGCGCTTCGAGCCGCGCTTGGTTTTCTTTCGTGAGCATCATGAGGTTCTCGGTCGTGCCTTCCTGGCTCACAATCTTCTGAATCACTTCGTTGACGTCCGTGACGCCCGTGGCTTCCTTGATTTTGCGGAAGGCGCTTTCGAAAATGTCAATTTTTGTCCGATGCTCCTTCTTTTCTTCGCTCATGCGGACGTGCGCAATGCTGTTGACAGCGAGCGACTGCCGCATGACGACCGCTTCTTCGTCTTCTAAATGCGCGGCTTCGCCCGACACGATGTCGGTCTTGAGCTTCTCGCGCTTGTCGAGACGGGCGTTCATATCGAGCTTCATCTTGACGACTTGCTGCTTCTCGCGGAGCTCCTTCTCGCGCAATCGGCGCTCCTCTTCGTAGTTGGACCGGACGCGCTCGAGCTCGAGAAGCGTGAGCTCCTTGGCGTGTGCCGCGTCGTTGGAGAGCATAACGAGCTCATCGTAGTCGTGGTTCTTGGCCGCCGCCGCGCGCTCGATCGCCGCGAGCTGGTTGTCAAAGCCGATGCGCTCTTCCTTGAGCCGCTTCACGATCTGCTCGTACGTCTTGCGGATGCTCTGCGCTTCGTTGTACTTGATCATGGCTTTGTCCAGTCGGTTCTCGAGCATTCGAATCTTGCGCGTCTCGGGCGTGTCTTCCATGCTCGGCTTCTTGCTCTCGAGTTCAAGGTCCTTGACATTGTCCTATCTCGCATACATATCGTGAACAAGCTATCCACAATCGCTGAATGCACGTACTTTGAGTTGCTCGAGAATGTCGACTTGGGCCGCGACCTTGTGCCGCACGTCGTCGTACTGCTTGCGGCACTTGGTCAAGTGATGTGCAATCTGGGCTGTCTCGTCGTCGAGGTCGTTGCCACCAATGACATTGCCGGCGGCTTGCTCCGCCTAGCACGACTCAATAGCAATGCAAGGCGCAAGAGGAGAGCAATGTACGCGCTTCATGTCGGCAATCTGCTTGCGGAGCTCCTTATTTTCTTGCTTGAGTTGTCGGATGAGATCTTTGTTGGAGTTTTTGTTGGCTTCGAGCGCCTCAACGTTGTTCTTGCGGTCGACCTCTACACAGTGCGTTGGTGGACTGGATGCACACTCGTAGCGTACGCAAAAGACGCATCTTCTCGCGGAGGTCGTCGACTTGCTCCTCCATGCGACTGTCGTAGTCGAGTTCCATCTTTTTGAGCATCGTCTTGGAGTCATGGCGCTGCATGGTCGGCAATTTTGCGGCAACAATAAACGACTGCGGCCCGTGCGTTACGACCCCGACTTCGAAACGCCCCTTTCAAGTCCATTTTGGTCCGCGCCATGGTCGGCGTCCAGCACACGACTTGACCTCTCGTGCGCTCGCCGCGTGTGCTTCATTATTCGCTGTAGTAAAACTATTAATACCTTCAATTGTAATACGTACTTGGATAACCTTATCGACGAGGTATGGAAACCCTAATCCACGTCGCTACCCACCACGCTGTGTTGACACGACCGACAGCTCGAATTTTGTAGTACTTCAAGATGTCATCGTTCTATCCTAGTACATAGCATTCGCAACGTCCACCGACGACAACTCGTATTCTTTTTGGCTTTAAAAACGCCATCGTTCTGTCCTGACATTCCTGCAGGAAGTAGACAACAACAACAACAACAACAACACAATGTCTTTTCAAGGAATTAATTAAACCACACCAATGACGATTAGGGCGTAAATGAGGCAAAAATGTCGGCGATGACTTCTTCTTGAAAAATCAAAAGCGCGTGCGTCGCGTGGGGGACCAAGTCGAGCGTGGCATTCGGGACGGCGGCGACGAACTCGATCGCGGCTTTCCTTGGGACAAGCGTGTCCTTTTCGCCGTGCACCACGTGGACGCGAACAGTAACGTCTGAGAGCTCAAACCCACAGCCGTTGCGGTCCTTCCCGAGACACAAAAGCGCGTCGTGGTACGCATTGTGGGGCTCGGCGTCCATGCGCGCGCGAAAATCACCAAACCGGAGCCGCGGCGAGAGGCTCAGCGGTACCTCGGTGTTCGTCTCGTGTCCGCTGTCGTCGGCGAGCAAGAGGCCGTGACCGAGCGTTCGCACCGACTGGTTGGGATCGACATACGCCATGCTCAAGTCGACCGACGCATTCACAAGCTTCATGCCGGCGGCAATGAGCCGCGTCGGGCAGTACGACGCCATCTTGAGTAACCGCGGACACGACCGATTCGTGATACCGACCCATGGCGAGAGCAGTGTGAGCGGCTCGATGAGGCGTGATGCGAGCGCCTTTTGGCTCGCGATCGCCAACGCGTAGATGGCGCCGGCCGACTGCGCCATGAGCCCGAACCGCTCGATCTGCAGCTGCGCGAGCACTTGCTCGAGGATGTAGACAAAGGCAATCGGCGCTGGCAAGCTCGAGTCGGCGATCGGGTCCGAGAGGCCGTAGCCTGGGCGGTCGATGCAGAGGAGGCGGATGCCGTAGAGGAGCGCGAGCTCCTTAAAGAGGTAGATAAAGTGCCGGTGGCCGCGCATGCCGAGGAGGCAGACGACAGGAATGCCTTTGGCATCGCCGACCTGGGCGTAGCTCACATGGCGTCCGTCCTGCAGCGTGATGACGCCATTGTAGTCGGGGCCGTCGAGGACGCCGCCACTCATCTCGGCTTGTGTGTCTTTGGTGGATGTAGTTGCGACACGCCACCTCGATAGGGATTGGTCATAATTACTGCTTTCCGACGGTTTTGATTGGCCACGCCCTCATGACGCAATGTTGCGATCTTCGACTGGCTCGAGATGCCAATCAAACCAAGATGGCCAGGCGCAAAGAAACACCGACGTCCAAAACATAGATCCATTTACGCTAGCATTCCATACGAGTCGGGACACTCATCGAGACGGCGCAGTCCCATGCAATTACAGGGAGCTGCGTCGAAAGGTCGCCTTGGCGCCAACGCGTCCAAAAACATGATCCATCGTGTCGTCATCAAACGGAAGTAACGAGTGGGTGGCGCCGGGGACGACCTTGAGCACGCCCACCGGAACGCCAGCGACAAGCTCTTGTGCTGCTTGGAGGGGTACGAGCGCGTCCAGCTCGGCGTGGATCACATAAATTGGCACACGGACGTGAGGTAGAGGCACGCCGTACCCGCGGGGGTCCTTGCCCAAGCCGAGCTGCACGTCGTCATCCACATTGTTGGGCTCGGCGTTGATGCGCACGCAAAGCTCGTCCATCAAGAGCGGGTCGGCACTCGCCTCGACGTTGCTGAGGATGCGCACGGTATGACTGCCATTGAGGTGCGTCATGCTGACATTCATCGAGCCAAGCACGAGCTGCACGCATCTCGAAATGGCAAGCTGCGGCAGCCACGACGCAGCTTTCAGCAGCCACGGACACGCCGCAGCGTTGGTGCCCACCCACGGCGCGACGAGGACGACAGGTGACACGATGCGGGGTGCAAGGCGGGCGTTGGCGGCGATGGCCAAAGCAAACATGGCGCCGGCCGAGCCCCCGACGAGACCAAACTCGCCAATGCCGAGGACGTCGACGAGCTCTGCGACACGATGGGCAAACGCGATGGGTGCCGGCGTTGCGTCGCCAGTGGTGAGCGGGTCCGAGAGGCCGTAGCCGGGGCGGTCGATCCCAAACAACCGTATCTTGTGCTTGCGTGCAAGCCCTTGGTAGAGGTACGTAAAGTACCGATGACCGCGCATACCGAGAAAGCAGAGCACAGGCTGCCCGCTGGGGTCGCCATCAACCGCGTAGCTCACGCGTGGGCCACTGGGAAGGGTCACTACGCAGTTGTAGTGTGGTGCATCCAAAGCACACGTCATATGCGCGTCGCACGCAGGCTTTTGGTCTGTGACTGCGTTGATGATGTCACGCGGCCGCCATCACGCAAGGCGCGTCATCGAGAAAGGAAGCTTGTCACGTCAACGATAGAGTGATGGTCGACTCATCGTGGCGCCAAAGAGGCGCGTCACACCGACGCATCGAGGCGGCATGAACAACGGCACGGACGAGAGGCTCGTACATCGCAGCGTACATCGCCTTGGTGAACCTCGAAATGGACGAACGGTGGCGTGCATCTAGTGTATCCAACGGTAAGCGAGGCGGCGTCTGGGTGCAACAGCTACTCGAGAGAACAAACTCAGACTTCCTTGTCGGTACTGCACCCGGTCACCACGCCAGATGTAGGGACTCTCGCGCAACACGGAAACGATTTTGAATCGGACAGAATCTGACGAATGTGCTGTGCGTCGCCTGCGCAATCTTCCTGTTTTCTCGTCTAGACGCTGGTTGTCGACGGTGCAAAGGCATCAAACGCGAGTTCGATCCCCGTCTTGTAAAAGTCGATAAAGCGGTGGGGCGTCTCGGGTACAATCGTGATCGTTGCGCCCTGGATGCTCGCGACAAAGCTAACGGCGGCGTCAACCGGCACCATGCCGTCTGTAGCGCCATGGACAACATGGAGCGGCACGCGCAGGTCCGTGAGGACGTCGTAGCCGACGCCGCGCGGGTCCTTCTCGAGGCACAAGAGGATGTCGCCGTACGCGTTGTGCGCTTCGGTGGCGACGCGCGCACGGAGCTCGCCAAACGGAATGGACATGTTCGTGCCAAGAAGTGCCATCTCGTCCGACGCACTCCACACGGCGCCCCACTCCATCGAGATGTCCATGACCTTGACGGCGGCCGCCAGCACGGAGCGAGGTGCGTACGACGCTGCATACAGCACGCGCGACGTCCTCGAGTTTGTGAGGCGCACCCATGGCGAAATAAGAACGAGCGGTGCCACGATGCGCGGTGCTAAATGGCTCTGTGATGCTACCGCCATCGCGTAGAGCGCGCCAGCCGACTGCCCCATGACGCCAAAGCGAGCGATGTCCAGCGCGTCCACGAGGGCTTGGACAATGTCAGTAAACGCGATCGGTTCGGGCGTCGCCGCGTCGTACGGCAGCGGGCTCGAGAGACCGTAGCCCGGACGGTCGATGCACAAGAGCCGAAGGCCACGCTGGCGAGCGACAGCCTCGACGAGCACGGTCGCGTGGCGATGGCCGTGCATGCCCAAAAAGAGCAGCACAGGCATACCGTCTTGCGCTCCGACGTCAGCATAGCTCACAATGCGCCCATCGGCGAGGCGCAGCGTGCGGTTGAAGGCGCCGTCGGTCAAGGGGTTCGTCGTCATGTGTCGCCAATCGAGGTCTGGTCCAAAGGGGTCCAACGACCAACGTTCTTGAACACATGACATTTGATTGGTTGGCGCTGTGGACAGGGTGGGTTGAGACAGTCATTCTTCCTCGAAAAGCTTTTGTACCATCTCGCTTTTGCACGATCTCGCTTTTGCACGAAATCTTTCTTTGACATTTGAGAGGCGTGTAGAGCCCACTAGATGTTTCCAACAACACCATCGAGCACACGTCGGTGAGGCTCACCTGGCTCACCAACTCGTTGTCGATTAGGCCCAAACGGCTAGCAATAGTGGCACCATACATGTTTGAAAGGTGTCGAGAGCCCACAAGATGTTTCCAACGACAGCACCGTGTATCCCTCCACGAGGCTCACCTGGCTCCCCAACTCGTTGTCGAATTGGCCCAAACGGATAGATGGTGGCACAATTGCGAGCCGTTTGGGCCAATTCGACAACGAGTTGGTGAGCCAGGTGAGCCTCGTGGAGGGGCAGAAAGTGGAATTATTTCTCCAGGAAGATCAGCATCGTTTTGAGAGTTACGGGGTCCGAGAGTACTGGGCAAACACTCTATCCATTGCTGGTTCGTTGAAACCAAGATTCGAATGATTGGCGTCTGGGACGAGCTCGAGCGTCGCATTTGGCATCGCCGCGACAAAGTCCAGCACAGCTGCGACCGGCACCATACTGTCTTTCTCACCGTGGACAACATGTACATGGGACGAAATTGTGTTGGCGTCGTAGCCGACGCCCCGCGGGTCCCGGCCGAGGCACAGGAGCACGTCGCCGATCGCGTTCTGCGGCTCTTTGGAAATGGTCGCGCGGAGATCGCCTAGGCACACATGACGTGGCGACATGAGCGCTGTTTCGTCGTTGTCGTCGCTGTCGTTATCTTGAGCGCACAGTACGGGCACAGACGCATTTGCCGCCAGGTACGACATACTGACGTCCATGGACGCACTTAAGCAGCCGACGCCCGCGGACAAGAGCACATTTGGGCAGCAACTCGCGAGTTTGAGCAAGAACGGGCTCTTCTCGACGCCGACCCACGGGGCAAGAAGGACGACGGCGCCGGCAATGCGGCCCTTTAGCGCATCGGTAGCCGCAATACCAAGCGCAAAGAGAGCGCCGGCCGACTGCCCCATCAGGCCAAACGACTCGATACCCAGCTGGCCCAAGAGCTCGTGGAGGATGTGAGCGAACGCAATGGGGACTGGCGTTGCGTCATCCGACGCGTCCGAGAGGCCATACCCCGGGCGGTCGATGCAGAGGAAGCGCACGCCGTGTTTGGCAGCGAGCGCGTGGAAGAGGTAGGCGTAGTGCCGATGGCCATGCATGCCCACGAGGCAGACAACGGGAAAGCCGTCGCCGACGTCGGCGTAGCTCACTTGCCGCCCGTTGGCGAGACGCGTGACCTTGTTGTAGGCGTCGGAGGCGAGAACGCTTGCCATGAGCGGGATTCGTCGATGATTTGTATATGTGTGGGCAGACAGGCGGTGGCAGAGTAGAGTGATGATCGTTCCGAACCAACACTCCAGCGTGGTGACAAAGCAAATTCAGCAACGCGTTTCGTGGTTTCATGACGTGGCAGCGCGAGCGGCCCGAGACGATTCCGGAGGAGACCAGCGTTTGCATGGAGCGCGCGCCATCGAGCACCAGACGCACACAATTTCCATCACGCGCGAGAAGCAACGACGGCGATGCGATGTGCCAGACACTGTCTTCGTTGCAGATGCTTGCGATATGGGTGGCCATTCAAGTGCAGTAGGATGGCCAGCCCTGTGTGACCTGATGGTGCGACCGCAATACGAACGAAGAACTAGCGGCAATAGGAATAAGGCTAGTGATAGTTTCTAACATCTGGGGTCGTGTCGCACGGGTACCGATAATCGCGACCGGCGCAAAACAAAAAGCAACGAAAATGTATTCCTACAACTCTTCGTGCGTCTCGTCGCTCTGCAACCGGGCCAAGATGCGCTGCCAGTGCCCATCCACGATCTTTGCGAGGATCGACGGCGCATACTTGTCGACCATGTCGGCGCGTGCGCGCTGCCCCTTGGCCTTGGCATCCTACGCGCCAATGTGCATCCAAATCCAACCTCGGTTTTGAAACGAAATGACGTACCTCGGGATGCGCCACGACGTACTGCAAGAGCTCGATGAGATGCGCCTCGGACGGATTGGCCCACAAGTGGCCTTTGAACGCGCCGTCCAGAATCTAAGGCGAGGCCGGTCATCCCAGTTTCGCAATGGGAATCTCGGTGCGCTACCGGTACGAGGCCGTCGATCTGCAGCGGAAACGAGTTGTCTAGCGTCATAAACTCGGTTGGTCCGCTCCAAAAGGTCGCGATCACTGGCAGTCCCATCGACATGGCCTCAACGTGCGGGCGACCCCAGCCTTCGCCGCGCGACGGCAGCACGAACGCCGTCGCCGCCTTGTACAACGACGGGAGTTCGTCCTGTGCTCTGGAATAAGTCGGTGTCTGCGATAGAAACATATAAGTAGTAAGGCACCTGGGGCAAATGCGGCGGAAGGACGTGTACGCGCGGCAAGTCACCAAGGTCGCGCTCCAGGTCGTCGAGCGCAAACTCCGTAATCATCGCCTGACCAAGTTCAAAATGCCATGAAAAGTAAAGAAGACACCGAGTACCTCGAAATCGCTCGAGCTGTGGTACGAGTTGGTCAAGAGCACGAGAAGCACGTTGGCGTCCCGCGGGAACGCGCCAAAATACGAGCGCAGCAAGATCTTCCAGCCCTTGCGCTCTTCCCACCTGATGCATCACTGAGATTTAGGACTAATGGGCTCCGTACTTGAAGATGGAGAGAAAGACGGTCGTCGATGCATCGACGCCAGGCAAGGCCAGTGGCGTCGCGTTCTCCGGGTCAAAATACGCCACGTCGACAGCTTCAGGCACGACGACAAGCTTGGCTTCCGGGACACCGCCGTCTTGGAACACCTGCTTCTGGAACCTACACGCAACGGCTTCAGCGTATGCGTGAGCGACGTATCGTACTGCGTGGGGACCCAGATCTCGTCCATGGCCGCCATGCGCTCGGCCCACCCCGACGGAATCCGGTCGGTCTCAAACATTGTTCGACCGATCGCATACGTCGAGCCTACGACTCGTTGTATTCGTCGCCATGCGCAAGTCGAACGGTACCGATCGGCGGACACGTGCTTGTGTGGTACCGCGCGGGGTGCCACGCTCCGGGCTCGGAGTGACACACTGCAATGTGCGGCGGTGCTGGCGACCAGTATGGGTTGAACCAGTGCGCTTCGAGCGTGTCTTTCGTCGCAGTTGGTAGGTGGCCGGCAAAGTCGTTGTTGAACGAGTCGCCGTGCTGCGTGATCTGCAGCGTATATGCCGGCGACGCCAAGTCGGCGAGCGCTTCGACGAACGAGATGGCTTCGCTGCAGTAGCCGCCGCCGCTCATAAAAGGCGCGAACCACTGAACAAGAGGCGGACTTGCCGCATTAGCCTACCACGTTGGTATGAGCTCGGCGCAGTCACAGCACGCGCTACCCTCGACGCCACGAGCGCGGCCACCGCCAGCGTCGACATGAGCATCGTAAACATCGAGTGCTACAGGTTTTTTCGACTGTGCGGCATCGTATCCATTTGCAAGGGTTTTGTTTTAAACAGACACACAAGTCGCGTTTTTACATGACGTGGCAGCACGTGACGTTACATGTCGTGGAGACCATGCGTGGCTGAATGGGCGATGACGACAAAGGAGAAACGAGATTCTTTGATACCTGCATGGCGTACTGGGCGGTGGCTGAGCGCCTTGCTTGACCCAGCGGCTGTAGCCGCACTGCGTCCGGGTAGATCACGGGTGCCGTGTCGACAACAGCAGCGAGAAGCGCGTCGGTGACCTTGGACTTTTCGTCGTCGCTCGCTTCGATGCTCTCGATCTCCATAAAGGGGAACGGACTCGACTCATCTTCGAAAAGCTCCCGAGCGCCGTCGTCGTCGTTGTCAGCGTCCGTAGACGCAACGGGTTCGTCTTCTTTGGTTGCCGCAGCATTGACCATCGAGTAATCCACGAGGCCGGGCATGACACTGGCAGCGATCTCGACCGACGCAATCTCATTCTCCTACAATGGCTCGTCTTGTCAGGCGTAATTAATTGCATAAACAAATTGTACCTGATCGTGGTCGTCGACTTGGTCGACGGTGTCGTCGAGTGGCAGCAACTCTATCATGTTGTGCTCCTCTTCCTCCAGTGTCTCCCCGGGCTTCATGCAGCGCGGGGACGAGACCGTCGAGCGCGGCGAGAGGCCAGACTGCGGGTGGAACCAGCACTGCATGTATTGGAGGCCAAACAAAACCTACAAAATTTGACCCACGGTGTTTCAAAATATGGACGCACCTGCACCATGTTGGTGCCTTCGTACAAGTCGTCGGTGCAAAACATGGAGCTTTCCGCCATACCGAGCCTAGTATATGGTGCGTCCCACTTTGAACAAAGGAGGTAGCGTGTACATGCGGCAGTCGTGCAGGAAGATCGAAATGTTCTCGCGCTCCTTCCACGGCGCGAGGAGCTTGGAGTACGTCCGTGCGATTGGCATCTTGTTGGCGTGCGCCGGCGCCAACGCCTCCATCTAAGAACCATAGTGTCCATCAAACAACTCAACCATATAAAAAAACGTACCAGCTCCCGCAGTACGACACCCGAGCGCAAGAGGACAAAGAGCGCGTTCTCGTCGTCACGCTGGACACCCATGGTCGCATCGTCGTTGGCAAAGAGGTCCCGCCCGAGTTTGCGTTCGATCCATGCGATCGACATCTGTGATCCTTTGTCATATTGAGCAAATAAGGCGGAAGACACGCACCTTTTGGCGCTTGGCGTACTCGAGTGTGAGCTGCTGGTTGGAACTCCACTTCTCGGAGGACGACCGCTGCGCATGGGGTAGCTGGATCGGCGCCGCCGGACGCACATCGGCCGACTTTTCGCTGCTCACCATCGGTACGTGCAGACTATTTTGAGCTCCTTTTCCATAACTGCACGCGTCGGAGGGTACCTGTCGAGGGGTGTGGAGAAGGGGTGATCTTTATAAGGAGCTATGCCAATCGATTGCACGCACATCACAAGCGCAGGAACGAGCGTGCAAAGACCCACTGCAAATATATATTGACGCGCCAACAATGGCCTAGCATTAGTAGTAGTTCGCCGCATCTAGGGGTTGTTGTACAGAATATTTCTGGGGTGCTCTTGCTGCTGCGGGACTCGCGCAACGAGCGCGACCCAAGACCCAAGACCCAAGACCCGAGACCACTGCTACCAACGTCACCTTGGTATGCGAGCGTGGTTCGTATCATAACTACGTACCCGACTTTCGGCTTGCCATCGTTGACACAAGCGGCGGCTGCGCCTTGAATGAGGGCTCTAGTCTGGTGGAGACCACGAATGACGCAGTAGGTCCAAGGTCTGTACGGCGAGCAGCTGCGTGCCCACACTCCATGCAGCGGTGGTTTGGGCTCCGAGCAGTCAGAGCTCTGCTGAGCCAAAGAGAAATGCGATGGAAGCTTTTTCTCGACCAACCTCACACGACTCCTCGATTCGATGCGACCCCGCACCTTCGTCAGCATTTTCTGCTTGCACTCGGAGTTCATCTCGCATCGGCCATCTTGCCCTGCGAACCAATGATATATGGTGAGCGTGCAGCAGAACCTATCGACGTGCTTCTACCGCCCCGCACGCGCAGCGACGCTGTTGCCGGCAACGTCGCATCTGCGCACTCACCGTGCGCCCTTGCCGTGTCCCCCATGTCATTGCGACCTGCGATGGTGTGAGCGTGCTGCTGCGCTCATTCGCCTAACCAAGTACGTATCCCATTTCATTGGTAGTATAAACGTGGATTGGCCCGGGCCCATGTATTCATCTAAGCGAATTACAAGCAACTGGGATGCTCGGCGGCTGTGATTGGCTGAGGCCACGCTTTGTGGCAATTGGTGGAAATTGCAGGCCGGTTGGGAATTCCCGAAGCTTCCCACCCCTCATCTCGCTCCGCCATGCTCACCTCGCTCCGCGTCGGTGGCCGCCGCATTAGCCGCCTCGGCCGTAGCTTCGCCTCCGCCCCGGAAGACAAGCGCTACAAGCCCGTGAACGAGGTGCCCGAGAGCGTCATTGCCAATGCCCACTCGGACCAAGTCTTCTCGCCCGGCTTTTCGATCAAGGGCCAGAGCTCGTCGGGCCGCGCCGCGTACCTCGACGTGCAGGCCACGTCGCCGCTTGACCCGCGCGTCCTCGACAAGATGATGCCGTACATGACGCACAACTATGGCAACCCGCACTCGCGCACTCACGCGTTTGGCTGGGACGCCGACAATGCTGTCGAGCACGCGCGCGAGCAGGTTGCGTCGCTGATTTCGGCCAACGCCAAGGAAGTCATGTTTACGTCGGGCGCGACCGAGTCCAACAACACGATCATCAAGGGCATTGCGCGCTTCTACGGCGCCAAGAAGAAGCACATCATCACGACGCAGATCGAGCACAAATGCGTGCTCGACTCGTGCCGCGCCATGGAGAGCGAGGGCTACGAAGTCACGTACCTTCCCGTGGGCACGAACGGCCTCGTCGACGTTGAGGCCTTTAAGGCCGCAATCCGTCCGGACACGGTCTTGGCGTCGGTGATTGCGGTCAACAACGAGATTGGCGTCGTCCAGCCGCTCGAAGAGCTCGGCAAGATCTGCCGCGCCAACAAGGTCTTCTTCCACACGGACGCGGCGCAGATGCTCGGGAAGCTCCCGATCGATGTGGACGCGATGCACATTGATGCCATGTCGCTCTCGGGTCACAAGGTCTACGGCCCGAAGGGCGTCGGCGCCATGTACATTCGCCGCCGCCCGCGCGTGCGCCTTGAGCCCATCTTGTCGGGTGGTGGCCAAGAGCGCGGTCTGCGTAGCGGCACGCTGCCGCACCCGCTCTGCGTCGGCATGGGCGAAGCCTGCGAAGTCGCGGAGCGCGAGATGCAAGCCGACCACGACTGGGTCCAGTACCTCTCGCAGAAGCTCGTGAATGGCATCAACGAGAAGATCCCGCACGTCATTCTCAACGGCGACGACAAGCAGCGCTACTGGGGCAACGTCAACCTCAGCTTCGCGTACGTCGAGGGCGAGAGTCTCCTCATGGCGCTCAAGGACATTGCTGTCTCGAGTGGCTCGGCGTGCACGAGCGCGTCGCTCGAGCCGTCGTACGTCCTCCGCGCGATCGGCGTCGGCGAGGACCTTGCGCACACGTCGATTCGGTTTGGCATTGGCCGCTTCACGACCGAAGCTGAAGTCGACTTTGCGATCGACCTCTGCGTCAAGCACGTCGGCCGCCTGCGTGAAATGAGCCCGCTCTGGGAAATGGTCCAGGAAGGCATCGACCCGAGCACGATCCAGTGGACCCAGGACCACCACCACTAGGCGTCCTATGTTTGCGACCGATGTGTGGATCGGACCAGCTCGATAATATACATGTATGATGATGACACGTGTTGCAGCTCTGACCTGTCGACGAGCGCCGCCAAAGCACCATCGCTTGCAGCAACCATCACGAGCGTCCCGCGTACATACCGGTAGGGTGTAAATAAGATCTGTATTCATTCATTTGGTGGTCCTGCCGAGGTGAACGCCGCTACGTCGGAGGCCTACCGCACGAAGATTTCGTGCGTGTGGGCGAGGACGAACTCAAGGTAGTCGGCTTCGCACGTGATCTGCTTGATGGTAAAGTTGTAGCGGTAAAAGATTGTCCGGTGCATGGGAGCCACCTTGAAGAGAAAGTGCAGCAGTTTGGCAAACGACCCGGGCAGCGCGAGGCTGTAGCCGATCGTACCAGCGTGCACGATCAAGTGGTTGAGCGGGCTCGGGTACGGCAAGCGCGGGCCGAGGAGCTTGCTGACGTCGTCAAGTGCTTTCTCGACAAGTCGCTCTGCCACGGGAACGAGGCGGTCGACCTGCGCGTCCGAGATCGAGGGCGGCTGCACAAAGACGCCGTTGTCGAGCACGGGGACGCCATGGCGCCGGAGGGCCTCCATGACGACCGTCTTGGCAATCGTCTGCATGGCCGCGTGCGACTCGCCTTGGTCGTTCCAGCCCTTTGGCGACGGTGCCATGCGCTCGGGAATGCAAATTTGCAACTGATGGCGATCTTTAACCGATCGGTTAGCCGGTTACACACACAAACAGGCGGAGCTGGCTCCATTTGGCAGCCAGGCAAACCCTGAGGCAATTCCACTCGCTCGCGTCACTCAGGCGTGTTTGCTGAACGCTTGCTCAAGGATCGATCGCTGCACGCCAATGGCCGCTATTCCATGCGCTATCCCTTCTTGCCTGCGCTGGACGGCAGTAGGTATGACAGTCGTATGGACGACGGATTGCTGAGCCTGAGCAGTGAGCCTGAGCAGAGTAGTACATATACAGTACTAGAACTGTCGCTGCCGTCGTAGTACCAGTGTTGTTGTCGAACCTTTGTTGTCGTGATACCCCCGCCATGTATCCTTCGCATCGACGTGTGAACGACAAGATCTTATGCACCGAGTGCGACAAACATACGAGTAGAAAGGACTTGGTTTTTCGAGGTTGACGCAGAATAGATAGTGGCGGCGTTCGAGGTCGTGGGATCGAGGCCACTTAGTCGAGGTACACTTCACGGCGCCGGGACGTCACAAAGTACTGGTACGAGAGCTCGCTGTGAATGAGATAGCGCGGCTGGGCGCTGCTATCGAACCAGACGCGGTCTTGGTCGGGGCGGATCGTGTTTACGACGTCGAGGAGCGCGGCAAAGGAGGTGGGCAGGGGCACGATGGATGTGACGCGCCCGACGTGGATCGTAAGGTGCTCGTACATGATGTCGCGCACGCGGGCACAGAGCGCCTCGAGGCGGGCGGCCTCGACCATGGACGCGACGTCCTGGAGGTTGAAGTCGTCCGTGAGAGTGATGTAGCCGTCGAGAATGGGGATGCCACGTTGCTTGAGCATGGTGCCAAGGATGTCGCCGGACGAAGCCGTCGTTTCCTTTGCCGGCGCGAGATTGTGCAGGAGGACGGCCTTTCCCGCGGCCTCCTCCGAGGACGGCAGCCCTTCGTTGGCGGGGCGTACGATGGCCACCTTTGCCATGAGCTTCTCGAGTACGTTGACGTCCATCATGGAGACGGCCTGCACGAGATTTTCGATTTGCTTGTCCGAGCGCGTCGGCGCCAAGCTCTGCCGCATGTAGCGCTTCATGCTCGGGACGTGGCAAAAATGGCATTGCTGGCGATCTTTGCGCACCGAACCGGTTTTTCCCGCCGGTTTGGAAAATTAACCGGCTAATCTCGAACCGCGCGTCGACGTTACATGCTACTCGTTGAAGGTTCCTTGCGAACCGCTGTTCCCGCACTACGCGCGAACGAGCTGTGATCTCTCCATATAGTACGAAGCGCGATATACAAACGAGCAATGCTCAGCCGAGCACTCAGTACGACGAGAGAAGATGCAGAATAACCGGTTAACTTGGCGTCTTCGTCGGTTCGAATCGCTTGCCGGGTTGCAGTCCTTCGTTCAAGCGGTGCTCGTCTTCCTTGGGAAGAGCCTTTCGAGGTCATGTGCAGCTACACGCGAGGGCTTCGCTCCGAGGTTCTTCCAACCGATAGCGTATGAAGGTTGGCCGCTGGCGACGATCGCACCGCGGTTGAAGTTGACACCACCAACATGTTGCAGTCGAGGAACCATCAATGCAAAGACGACCCGAGGAAGACACAACACTTGTTGCATTGGTTTCGGTGGGTGCATGCAGAAGAGCAAGGCAAGATGCACTAGAAGATGTAGACGAAGCGGACGTGGGTGTTGGTGAAGCAGAGGTACGAGAGCTCGTCGTGGATCACAAAGCGTGGCAGCGCTTCATGGTGGGACCAGACACGGTCTTGGTTGGGCCGAAGGGACGCGACGGTCTCCATGAGCTCGGCAAAGGACCGAGGCAGCGTCGTGACACAGACGTGCTCGTCCATGATGATCGCGAGGTGGCCGAGGTACATCTCGATCGTGCGCACCGTCTTGGCTTGAACGTCATCCCTTTTCATGTCCTTGGGGATCTTGACTTTGTCGTCTTCAAGCTGGCGTCGCACCGCGTCGTGCTGGATCGGCCGCAGGTACAACCCGGTCGAGCTGCATGGCGCCGGGTCGGGCGCGTCGAGGCCGATCATCTGCCGCGTCGCCCGGACGTAGAGGTCCACGTACGGGTACTCGCGCTGCAACTCGGCTTCCTCGGTCGGCTCGCTCCATGGCCGCAGCATGCGTCGGCCCCGGCGATCGCTTCGCATCGTCGTCATCCGGCTTGGTCCACAATGGTGGCGATCTTTTGTACTGTGATTTTAGCCAATCGGGACGCCGGAGGCAATAAACCGGTTCACGCAACCGGTTTCACGCGCGACCAATCCCAATAAATCCTGATGGCCACGACCCGGACCCGAGCCAAGAACGCGCTCAAGCGCCGGAAGCGCAGGCTCCAGCGGCAGCTCGAGGAGGACCTACACAGCGTCCTGCACGAAGGCTGCGAGGCTAGCACGAAGGAAGCCCTCGAGGCCGAGTACATGGCCAACGAGGAGAACACGCAACGGGTCCATGCTGCATGGATCACAGCGAACGCGACGGCCGACGCTGCCTTTGCCAAGCGGCAGCGCATCCTCGCCGAGCGCCAGCGCCTCATGGAATCCATCAAGCAGCAAGTCGAGCAAGAGAAGATGGAGATCGAAGCGGCAGAGAAGGAGCGCGCCGAGGCCATGGAGAGCCTCCGACTCGAGCGAGAGGAGGCACGCACACGTCACTAATCCACGTCAAGCTCATAGGCGACGCTGTAGGCAGACGAAAAGCATCGTGCGCAAGTGCTCGCGTCAATGTCGCCCGAGAAGGTACATATGCGCATCATGTTCCTGTCAATCCCGTCCTCATGATGAGCGTAGCAACGCGAGGTGGTCTGCGCGTTCTATGCGCGGACAGGCACCTGTCGCTTTGGCGCCAACTGTACACGCTACCATACTCCCGTCACGTCGAGTCGCTTCCTGCTTGTCCAGGTTTGTTGCGTCGAGATCAATGCCCCATCATACCGTCGCCTTGGCTTAGGGCATGCATGCGATCCAGCTGGCGGCGGATGATGCGCTCGAAGTACATTCATTTCGCATATACATGTACTAAGGCGCCGCGTAGATCGACGAGAAGCAGCTGCGTCGCGCATACGCCGAGTTTTACAACGACGTGCTCGCCGAATTTCTCAAATTTGGCTTTGTCGTGCAGCTCACGGTCCATACAACATTCTTCTCCATCGCTCTTTCAATGTATCAATGAGACTAGACATGCTGCAACTTGGCGCCACACCTGCGAGGCAACGTGTACGTCGAGTACCAAACCGAAGCCCACGCCGCCGCCGCGGTCCACGCTCTCTTTGGCCGATTCTATGCGGGAAAGCAGCTCTACCCGACGCTCGTGCCCATGGATTCGTGGGCCCAAGGCATCTGCGGGCTCTACCAACAACGCCGGTGTACGCGCGGGCGCGACTGCAACTACCTCCACCCATTTGCAACCCCGGTAGAAGATACGCCGTCGTATCGGTTCCGCCGCCGGTCGTCGCCCCGTACGCACCATAAAAGAAGACGGCAAACCTCATATTTGATGCGTG